AGAATTACACTGAATTACTCAGAATCTCAGATTTCCTGACTATGGATTCAGTTACACAAAAAGGTACCAAACCCTTCCCACTTGTTTCAACTTGTTCAAAAATTTTTCAATCTTTTGTCACTTGGGCTGAGATTTTTCCAGATTTAATTTCTGTCCTGAAACAAGTGATTTTTTTTTTTTTTAATTTCTTTTTTAAGAGTAACCAAAAGAACTGTGGTCATATTAAAAGAGAAAGACTTAAAGAAATGTAGAATTCCACAAGTTCCTCTTTTCCCCTCTCTTTTACACTCAGAAGACCTAAGCCAAGATTTAGTCCAGCATGGAAAAGAGCCACCATGCTTGCACTTTGATATGATTAATTTATATTGGAAGAATGGAGACAGTAAGAGGAAGAAAGACATCCAGATGTTGGATTCAAGGGGGCAGGTAAGAAAAATAAGGATGCTGTAGTTCTTCCACTGATGAATGTTTTTTAAGGGCTCAGGTCATCTAGTTTCAGCAGGAAATATAGAGGAAGACACTATTGATCATGGTCTGCTGAAAGGCACAGGAGAACACTTCTGGCATACCACAAAGTAGAATTTCAGGCAGTAACACTAGAAATATTGTTCAGATCCCTTAGAAATCCTCTCTGTGCGTCAGAGCCTGTAATTTTAGGTCCCATGCCAAACCTTTAGGGCTGGTGCCAAAAGCCTGGGAGGCTAAAAGCCCATGGGTATGAATTTGTTTATGTTCTGAGAAAACATCCTGGATATGGGAAAGGGAGATGGAAACACAGAGAGCTAGGTGAGCAAGTTAAACGAACCTTGAACGACTCCTAGTGCACCGAAGACTCCAACTCTCAGCGCTATGTGCTGTTGTGTCCCGTTGTGAATAGGGTCATCTGTCCACATGCTGAGCCAGTAACCACGAAAAAATGACACCACTTGCTGACACGTGAACAACAGCATGATGTACACACACAATGGTAAGCCTGTTGCCTTCAGGTAGGCTGCATAAATCGAAGTATGAACCTAGAGTGAAACATTTCCCTCTCATTTCCATAATGTGCTCTGCAATGTATGTGCATTATTTCTGTTTTGGTACTGGTGCTTGGATCAGGGCATCCAGAGGAGATACAGTTTGCAGAGAAGTTGCTATGTAAAATAATGCTGACATGACTGTGTCTCACTTATAGGGAAAACTTGTATAGCTCAGCTGACTTCTCTGGAGTTTAACTTAGGCAGTGAGCTGACCTGCCTGCTGTGAGCAGTCAGTAATGAACCCATGGTATGTGTCTTTGCCTTTATAGGAAGGTGCTTTGCTTACCCTGCCATGCTGAGTTTTTTCATCCTTGGTTAATCTTCCTTTGGTGGCTGCAGCAGTGGTAGAGTCTTGACTTCCAGGAGCGGTTTCTCTTCCCATAGCAGAAGATTTGACTGAATTGTCACTTAACAAAGAAAACAAAAATCCTTTCAATTTTTAGCCAAAGCAATGAGTATTTTAAAGCTGGATCTCCTTGCCCATCCACCCCTATATCTGTGCCTATTTTGAGGGCTGCAGTTTTCAGGGTCCTCCAGAGTGACCCCAAAGATTGTCCACACTTGTGACAGGGACTGGGTTCTGCCAAGCTATTAACAAGCAGAGGCTTAAAGCATTCAGTAGGCATGGCTAGTTTTAAGATGAGTCAGACCTTACAGCCTCACTGGGAAGGGAACAGCAAGCAAATGTATCAACGTGCCTTGTCTGTGAGCTCTGGAATAAACTCTGGCTCCTTGTGAAATATGGAGAAAATGTTAGTCAACCTCCACATTCGAGAGCAGTTTCTTATCTATTCTTGACCTTTGCTAGTTTGCTCTTATTATTAATTTACAGATCAATCCCAAACTTGTATTATCAGTAAGAGCCTCCACGTAGGCTTGTAGGAACTTTTGGAGCAAGTTTTTCGGTATCTGAGACAATTTCAAGCTTACCTAAAGAGCTTCTCCTGCGATGACCCATTTCTAGAGGTGATGGTGCCTTTGGTGTCTGCTATACCTGTGAAATAAATGCTTTTAAAAAAAATTGCTTTAGAATCCTGTTTTGCACTGTATAGCCTTTGAAAGAGTGGTAATACAAAGATTCATTACAAAGAATTGTTTCCAAGGCTAGAAATACCAAGGTGAGGCTTGAAGAATAGCACATGCAGTGGGTAATTCTGTTTACTGCATGGCTGTTGTCTACTAAGATGGAACTGCTTATTCAAGACCCAGTTTTAAGGTGATGAGTCAGGCTAACTTGACAAGCATACTTTTCCCCACTCAAAGTGACAGCTTACTGTGATGGAATCTTGGCTTTAAATGTCCATAAACCCCCCCAAATTTAAGAATGTCTTTTCCAGTTTTATTCTCTTTTTCCTCTTCCCAGCTGTGAGCAGCAGCAGATGCCTCTTCTCCGCCAGTATATTACTAAGGAAACAGTTGAATGATAGACCTAGGAAGAATGATAGCAACTCATTCGGGTTACCTGGAAAACCAGTGTCTGCCTTCTCTTCTGCTGTAACGTGTGAATGAAGGAATTCTGCAAAGGCCCCATTTCTCTGTAGGAGTTCTTGGTAGGAACCAATTTCTGAGATTGTTCCATCCACCAGGAAAACAATGTTATCCACTTGAGGCAAAATGTTAATGGTGTGAGTCACCAGCACACGAGTCTGAATAAAGAGGGAACAGTTACAATTGTTCTGGTGTTCCCCTCCTCACTTAAGCTGGGTCAGTCAGCTGCTTTCTGAAGAAAGACATGTATTCAGTGTCATTTTTGCTAACTGGGAGATACTTCTGTTATTCCTAGTACTTCTGACTGTCTCTTTGATGAAGCTTATCTTTGCAACATGGTTTTGAGCCCATTTTGAAAGTACAGAACTTGTGATTGGAGGGGTGAATCAACTTGCTTTGTGTCATGCACAGTGAAGAGTGAGGACAGGAGGTGAAACCTTAAGTCCCAGGCTAGCCCTTTGAGTACTGTTTAAGTCTACTACCTTTTTTTTTTTTTGCCAGTCTTTCTGTTTCAATACAATAATTACATTCTGATACTTGCGAATGATCCACATGAAGAGAAAGGTATTTGTAACCAGACATATGTGCTTTAATTGGACTTTCTATGAAAGAAATTACCTATTTTCCTTTTACAATGTGAAACTGAATCAAATATTGGTAGGCAATTTATACCATGAAGCAAACAGAGCTGCTCTTGCCTCCTTTCTCATATAACCACATTTATTATCCAGATTGCTTGACAGCAGAGAAATACCAAAGAACAACAAAATGCAACCAATGCAAAAGAGAATGGAAGTGCTTAAGATGGATTTTAATACTGAAGTTTAAGTGATGAGTATCTGGGTGATGAGAACTGTAATAGTGCCACTGAACTATTCAAAAGTGATGGGATTAGACACCACGATAAGATACAATAAGCTGGAAGAGACAAGTCAGCTCTTCCTAACTATACTAGAAATAAATCTCAGAAAGGGAATAGGATAATGTCAGTGGAGGACCAAACTATAAACTTGCTGTAGAAGTAAGGCTGGAACTAGGCATGTGGTTTGCATGAGGATAAAGACAGTCTTTCAGGAGAACTGAACTTTTCAGTCTTCCTCCTCCTAGGTGAGACTCACTGCAGGACTTCCATATGCTGTATGGACTGCAGAGGTTATCCATTTCACTGTTGCTAACAGCAGTACCTGCTGCCTGTAGCAAAAAAGTGAGTAACCCAACTTACTGGAAACGTTTTGAGGCCTTGTTAATTAGATACGTTGTACCACCTTTTAAAGATCAAGATTTATAACATACCTTGTCTTTCAGTAAGCCATTGGGTCCAATAACATGTTCAAAAATATGCTGTCCAACATGGGCATCAACAGCTGAGAGCGGATCATCGAGCAGGTAAATAGAAGCCTTCTGGTACACAGCACGGGCAAGATTCACTCTTTGCTTCTGCCCTCCAGATATATTTATTCCCTGTAAAAATATATTGAGAGTGTTTATTCCAAAGCTACAGCATATTTGCCAATTGTTGGCTCCATTTGTGCTGTTATGACTTCCTTATTTTTATATCAGTCTACCTCCCTCCTTTCCTTCCTCCTTCTATCCAAATAGTGCTTTTGAGATGCAGAGATGGATTTTCTTGAGCAACTCCACTCTCCTGCAAAAGATGATCCAAGAATGACCTGGATTTGCTGGTTTTTGTCTTAAGCATCTCTTGTATCTCTAGGTAGGTTAACTGTCAGGAGATGAGCTTCAGACCCCATTAAATCATGGCCTGACTTCTCAGAAATTACTGAGAACCTGCCTCCTCCAAGTTTAGTGCTTTTGTAGGTGTTTTGCAGGACACCCGAAGTTGTAGCTACTCATGGAAAAGCTGGCCAAAGTATCAACCTAAGCCAGTACCTTCTCTCCTATTTCACTCTTCCACCCTGCAGGGAAGCTCTCCAAATCGGGTTGCAGTGCACAAGCATCTATCACTGTATTGAACCATGTTTCATCCATCTCTTTCCCAAAGAGAATATTGTCTTCCACTGAAGCATTTTGTATCCATGCTTGCTGGGGGACATAAGCTACAGTGTCCTATAAAAATGGAAGTGGAACAATGTTAACAATCTGTTTCATAAGCTCAGCTTGACAGTGTGGGAACCTGTCTTTGAAGAAAAACTCTCCCAATTAGATTTACAGAAATCTGAAATTGGAGGGCTTTACAAAACATGAGTCTGCACTCTTACTATCTTACAGAGAAAGAAATGGAGGTGCAAGTACATGATGTGGTTTACCAGGATGCCACTTCAGTTCACTGTTAGAGTGGGAAATGGAATTTGATTCCCATTCTTAAGTGCCAGCCTAATCTGAGAAGTCTTAAGCACCTTCAGATAATTAAATGTGGACTGCTACATACTGCCTCTATTAAATTTCAGCAGTAAATGGGCTTTCATCAAGTATCTGATTCCTTGGTTAATACCTCACTATTCCTGCAGACAGCCTAGTTAGAAGCAAACACTCAGGGGAAAATTTACCTTCACACTCACGCAGCCGTCCACCTTCTCCAGCTCACCAAGTAAGGCTGACAGTAAGGAGGACTTTCCTGCACCCACCTGGCCAACCACAGCAAGCAAGGAGCCTTGGGGCATGGTAAGATCTATCCTATTGAGAAAAGATTAGTCTCTTATCACCTTTTAGATACAATTTCTGAAAAGAAAATCACCAAAATTCTTGCTATTGTTTTGTAGCAATGAAAATGTACCAACTAAACCCTCTAATTTCATACTTGAGGCCTCACTTGCACAGGGTTAGTCTTCCATCACGTTGAGATTTTGCAGCAGGAGTCACCGCTTCAAAGATGCCTCCAATCAGAAAGTCTTCATCTGCATCCCCATCTGAGTTTAAAACGCAGATCACCACTATGGAGATCGGCTAGCCCAAAGCACTGGATGCGAAACACTCCTGATCAGAACTTTTCAACACTGTTTCTTCTCTAAAATGGCAACGCCTTTTGAAATAAGCACATATAACATCTGCATTCTACTTTTTTGACTTAAATTGCTGTAATTTCATATTTGGACAAGAAAATTGTGTAAAGAAAGTAGTCTCTATATTAAGGCAGTATCCAGATACAGGAACCTTCCTATTTATGTGCTTTCAAGCATAAAAGTAAGACTATGCTCTGTCTGACTTCACAATTTTCAGAATTCAATGTTAAATACGAAGCAAACTCAGAATTCTTTAGATATTTCACACCGAGGCCCCAAGGAATTAGTTCGTTCAGCATCCACCCTGACCTACAGAACTGAGATGACTAAAGGAAGGTCTGTACCTTCTGAGACAAGGAGAAACGTCTTTGCTCCAGCAAAAAGTCCCATTTCTTATGGTGACACTTGCCTGTGCTGAAATATGAGGAGAAATAGAAAGAACACTTGTAAATGCAAAGGTAGATACAGATACACCTCTACCTATGTGACTATGTTTCAGTGTGTATTTATATTACATAAAATGAACTTTAAGTATGAAAAGGAGTTAATTACCAGATTAGATTTCATCATTAGAAATAACTGAGCCTAAGAGATAAAGTGACAGTAAGGGGCAAACATTTTTCTCTTATGACTATGGTAGGCACCCTAAGAGCGGAAGCTGATCAATGGAAGCTACTCCTCTCATAAGACAAAAACTCACCACAGTCAGAAATATTTCTGCTTGAGCTTTCAGGACTCAGTTCTTCCAGATTTAGAAAAGCTGCTAAGCGGTTTAAAGAAACTTTGGCCTGAAATGAAGATGCATAAAAAAGAGTAAGGTTTAGAACAGATAGGCAGCTAAAACCCAAAGTGAAGACTCAACTTGAAGATCCACTTAGAATGCTGATTAAGTGCTATGTTGCAGATGCTGTAGGCTTAGATGGACCAATGCAGCTCGCTCTTATGTCAACGGGCATTATTTCCACTTGGCTTAGCAAAACCCCATATTCTTCCCTGCATCTTCCCTTATGTTCACACAGTAAAAATTGGTGTTTTTTTTCCAATTCATCCTGCAGTCTTTCCAGTGATTGCTCCTATATGTGGAGAGTTATGACAGTCTTCTTGGGGTGCAAGAGGGAAATGAATTTCCAAATTTCTTACTGGACAATGACTTGCTTTTCTCTTTGACCTGCGCTAGCAGGGTTTCCACTGATCTAGCATACATTTTGCTCATCTATTCTAATTTCTATGATTAAAAACAGAACTAGAAGCACTTCTGGGATCTAATGGTGCTTATGATTGGCTCCAAAAGACCTAAGAGCTATTCCTGCTGACTATTTTGTTAATATCTGAAGCCTTTCTGAGAAAACATTACAAAGTACCTTTAGCTGTAAGTCCTTGCACTTCACTGTTTCACTGTTTCAAATAGCAATTAAATAGCTGACATTCAGAGCCCTGAGAAATCCCAACGTTCACCTGTTAATGGTGATATGTAAGAAACCCACTTATGGCCAAAGGAAAAAGAACATAGCCTGCAGTTAACCTGAACAGCAGCATTTATGGAGAATGGCAGGAAGGAGTGCGCAGTGTTGAGGATGTTGATCAATGTTATAGACACAAAGGCCTTCTGAGCATCCAGGACATGTGTGTTATCGACCAGGGTGTACACAGCAAACATGACAAATGCAATCTGAAAGGAAGCAAAGGAAAAGTAAACCATTTGCTTCAGACATGGAAGAGAATAGTTCAAGCGTGACATGCCCCTTCCTAAAGACTTTGGAACACATTTAGTTAAATCCAGGCTATCGCACATATACGCAGTACCTGTCCTGCAAGTATCATAGGCAAAGGTCTTGGATGTTGGTGACAAAACCAAGATTGATCATTTGACATTTAAGGAAGTTTTGCTGCTGCAACCAGAGCAGGGTAAAAGCACAGCCATTTCCCATTGAAAACACACATAGCTGAGCTGCAACAGCAAGTGCAAAAGTGGCCTGTGTACCTACTGACTGTGCCATGAGGTCTTCAGGTGGCTCTTGCACAGGAGGCTTAGTCTGCCTGGAACACACTGCCAGACCAGATGACTTGCCCCTGGAACTGTTATGACAGTAAATGTCTGTGTGGCTGATTCCACTGGGACTCAGCAATTCCTGTGATACCACCAGTGCTCCAGGCAGATTTTATCTTTAACTGTCCCACATGAAAAATCTGTGCAGGTAGTAGTGCAAAGAGAAATGGAAGTAACAGTGCATGTTTTATACAGGAAACATCTAGTGAAATACATAGTGAACCACTCACCAGGAAAGTTGATGAATGGAAAGAAGCTAGAGATGCTGAGAAAAGAATCTGAGAACTTTTTAGGGCCTGAAGTTCTTGCTTCCGGATACCAAGCACTTTCTCCATGAAGGTTTTCTCCCAGCCATACAGTTTGATTACTTTAATGTCACTGAGAAAGGCACTAGTGAGTTTGGCTCGCTCATCTTTATATTTCATCTGGGTCTCCTGTAACAAATATCTGAGTTTTATCATTTAATAGGTTCAATGTTTAACAATGCAATTATTCTGAAAAGAGCACCTTGATCCTGCCTATGAATCCTGAGTAAATTTCCCTGCAGTTGAGCTGTGTATACTATTTTTATTCATAATCTTCCAGGCTGGGAAATACTTTGCTTTTCTTCTTCAGAGCTTTATTTTTCTGGCAATTCATATAAACCACAGAAAAGTTGGCAAACCAGGTAAAAGGCTGAACATGCAAGAGCTTACTGTAAACTTTAAGAACATCTGCAGGCTTCAAATCCATGATAAGCATGAATAATAAATATTAAGCCATCATATAATTTAAGTCAGTAAACCACTTCATTTTTATCAAGCAAAATGTACCTGAAACTGACTCCTCTTCTTTGTGATCACAAAATTCAGAGGCAAAAGAAAAAGGAATACCACAATTGAAGTCAAGGCAGATGGTCCAAGAAGCTGCCAAGAGAGAAAATGAAAGAGGAAGAACTTCCAGTGATTACTAGAAATTACTGTTTTACATTCCCCTTGCTTACCGTCTGCCTTACTTGAATTTATGCCTAACATCCCTCATGGCTAAGGCTTTAATCTTGCTTTTGCCTTTCCTGGGAACTGTGCTCCCTAAGCACTCTGGATTGTTAACCCTCCAGCCAGGGTAAATCATGTCATCATGCTCTGCTGAATTTATTTGTTACCCTTTTAGGAACTAGAGGAGTGTTGAAAGAGATCCAGAGGCACAGCTGGCAATTCAAGTAATTTGTTCTTCCAATCTGTTCTTGGATGTTTTAAGGAGGACATCTTGTGGCTGGCCTAAGTGACCTGAAACAAAACCCAGCCTTTGCTCAAAAAACAAAACCACAACAAACTATTCTAGCAGCACAAACAACCCAGCCTGTCGGAATTTACATCAACTAGTGAGATGAAATGGTAGAATTATACTGTGCCATGTACTCTTGGGACAGGTCTTGGATACCAGGGCTCACAATGACTTACATATCAGAAATGGTTTAGTTGTATCAGATGGCTTACGTTTGCTGGAGAGGTGAGTGCTGGTATACCTAGAGAGATAAAAGTATTTTCTACACAAATGGTGTGTATACTAGCAAATAGTGTTAATTATGCTCCAGCTACATGCAACTACATGCAACTTGTAAACAATACTAGAAAAGGGATGATCCTTTTCCAACAGCCTATACCATGGTTACTAATTTTCCAGCATCATAGTATCCTGCCAGACATGAGGCACAGTCCACCCTGGGTAGCAAAGGAAGGTCTTAAAGGCTTCTGCAAACTTCCTGGTAATCATGTGTCTCTATAGGGCTCATGCTTCCATTTGGTGAGCTGCCAAAAACAGGTTCTAAGAAACAGGGCTTTATGCTGCTGAGAAAATTCTGCTCTAAGCAGAATTTTGAAAACTCATTTTTCCTTTGATACCTAGAATAGAAAGGGATTGATAAATACTGTCATAATATTTTACCTGCCACAAGAAGACAAAGCAGATGATGATCCGAATAGGAGCAAGCCAAGTCCCATTAAAATAGATAATCAGATCCATTAGCTTTTGGACATCGACAGACACCAGATTAACTATTTCACCTACTGTTGCTGCTTTCCTTGATGCATTTGACATAACTAGGATCTAGACAGGGTAAAGAAGAAATCAAAAGCACCATCAAACAGTAGCTTTGGTCCAAAAATAAAACAACTTTCTTTTCCTTATAAACAAAGGAGGAAAAAAACAAAAGCAAGGGGGAAAAATGCCAAAACCTAGGTACTGAAAACATGCTGCTGCTTGGGCTATGACTTCACTTTAAGATGAAGAATTTCCCCAACCATAATCTACACCATAAAGAAGTTTATGTTGCTTTTTCTTCTTTCCTTTTTTTTTGGCTTTTTCTTAAGGTAAGTAATAAAAAAAATAAGTAATAAAATGAGTAAGTGAAAAATAAGTAATAAAATTTTTCCCACATAGTGTTCAGAAATGAATATAGCAGAGTTACATCCCAAAAGCAGTTTCTAACAACATCTCCCCTGATACTGTTAAGAACAATGTACCGACAATATAACTAACAACACAGAGCTAGAAAAGAATGAAGATGAAAGGAAGCTACAGATTCACCTTCCTGTACACAAGCCCTGTTACTGCAGTTCTCAGTCTCAACCCCAGAACAAGGCACATGTACATGTATCGTTGTTCGAACAGAGTCTGGAGACAAGCCAAAAGGAACATGCTGAATGCATAGAAGTAGCCATGCCAGGTAGGTGCTTCTTGATCTTCAATGAACTCCAGGAAAAGGCTGCAAGACAGGAGCAAAAAATGTTGATGAATCCATGTAGAACTGATGGAATATCAGACACACAAAAAATGCAGAAATGCCAGGGGATTTTTGTGTATTCTTTCTGGCTGATATTTATCAGTAAAATAGGAGAAAAAATGGAAAAAAAACCCACTGAGTATCCTGTATTATATAATATCCTGATTTTTGACATTGAGCCATTCTTGGTTTGGAAGCAATTTCTGATCTCAACATCCTCTCAGGGGAGACCTCATTTTCAGTATTAAGGATGGCTCCTGAATTTTATGAATTTGTCAGTAATACACAAATTGAAAGCCATAATCTAAGGAAGTCATTGATATTTCCAGAACTTTTGTTAATGACTTAAAAGTGATATTGCCCTTGAAAATATACTCTAAGTCACATTGGTGTTGTACCAACACAGTCCACAAAGCACTACGTCAACTGACTAAAGGAGCTATTTAAGATGTGTAGGATGCACAGCTGTGCTCTTTAGAATTAGTCAGGGGACATGAAGCCTTAAGACTACAGCCTCTGGCTGACAGCCTGTGCAAATGATGTGGTATGAACCATCAAATAACTCACTCCTGATCAAGTAAAGTTGTCAAAAGGCTCAGTGGAGCCTGTTCTTTCCACTGCTGGAACACAGACATCTCTGTCCGAGCTTATGCACACAGCAATCTTGCACATCACAGAAATGCATTACAAATATGTGCATACCTCAGTAACTTTGGGATGGAGAACAAGAAGACATCACAAATAACTAAGCAGGCAGTGCCGAGAAGGAAATAGGTTCCAAACATGCTCCAAAACACTTTCAGTAAGGGCCAGCTCTGACTTTGCTCTGACTGCAGTAGAACTTCCATCTCTTCAGCTTCTGCTATGCCAGTTTCACTCTTCTGACCCTTTTTAAACGTAGCAGACTCAATTTTTCTAAAGAAAGGAGCAATGAGAAAACTAATTACAACTGGAGAAAGCTTGGTAATCCTGTGCTTTCGAAAACGATTAAATATCTCACACTGGGTTTCATGCCATGTCCAGTAAAAACGCTCAGAAAAAAAATGATCCCTCTCACAAAAAAATCACAATTCTGTGCTTCCAGGAATGGAGGGATGTTCTCCAGCAGATTTCAACACTTAAAATCAGACTTTGCACAAAGGAACTCACTGAGCACTCACCCACTGAAGACTTAAGATCCCCAGGTTTTCATAGAGTGTTACTTGGACCATCTTATATATGCTACCCTTTTTCTGCTTCTTGTTTAATGCACAAATAATTCAGTGGGATTGATTCTTTCAACTGCTGTATTGTCCAGATAGGAAGCACCTAGTGGAGCTTATGGTCAGAGCCTGAATTTATGCTGAAGCAGTCTGTCTAGCACTCTGTGGGGAATAGAGGGGCTTAGAACCTGTTCTGAGATCGCACACCAGCACCAGTGAACATATTTGCTTGTATCATCTAGAGGCAAGAGAGAAACTGTTCAGCTGAGCCTATGACACATTCTCTAGATCAAGTACTCACTGCTGGGTTCTGTTACGACACTTCTTCCACTCTCTCTCAGCCCAGGAAACAATTTCTTCAGAGGATTCCTCTTTCCTCACTGGCCACAAGTCATCCACCCCCAAGGACTGCTGACAGCCTTTCCAGAGGAGCCTGGAGAACACACAGACTGCTGTAACGCAAGCACAGAAGGATTTGTGGTACTTCTAACATTTTGAAAACAGATAGGCTTTAAGTTAGTGCATCATAGTGAGCACAGAGGGACCTACATATATAAAACACTACTCAGGGCTGTCCTTTCCCAGAATAAATATGAATGTTCAGGAACAGCCGTTTTGCTTCAAATCCCTATGCTATGTTCCGTGAATACAATGAGGATCTGCAAGTAAGCCCCAGTTTCTAGTCCATACTGAGAACTGGGTCTTGGGCAGTGGGGGACAAAGTTCAGTTTAATTTCCTCTGTGTCTCAGTGAAATGCATACGAGGTCTTGTCATAGCAGACATTAGACCCAAGGTATGTAATCATTTTACTTCTGATTCCTAAGCAGCAGGCTGGGCCTCACTATTTTTCCCTTGCCCAGCATTTGTTATGGGAAGGTCTGCAGGGAAGATAGGGCTGTGGTTGCTGTACAGTGATCTTTTGAGATTGTTGAGGTCTGTTTCAAGACTGGGAGGGTACTGGAAGGGTAGCTGGAAGGGGGAAGAGAATTATCTAGAATCACAAATCTATGTTTTAAACTGCTTTGAGAAAAGTAAGTTAATTCTTTATAATTTGATCTTGTGAGAATACCTTAAGTCCCCAGATAAAGAATTTAAATCCTTACTGCATAAACTAACTCAGGGGCTATTTCCTACTGGTTCTCTACACTCTCTCCTATGCTGCTTGTTTGTTTGGTTTTGAGTTTGTTGGTTTTTTTTTCTGATATTCTAACAAAACCACATCTTTTTCTTACCCAGAGAACCACCAGTATGTGATTTTGGAAAGAAAAGAGCTGCTGGCTTCTGGACACTGATTCTGATGGGAGGAAAAACATGGGTGATATTTATATACAGAAAAGGGCTTGCGTCAGATAAATGTAATTCCCTTCTGTGCTTCCCCAGAAAAAGCAATCAAAGTTACACACACCCCATTCATGATCCTGACAGTGTAAATGTATTGTGGAGGCTCAATGGGATCGGGGGATTTTGGAGAATGAGACTTTGAATAATGTCTTAGCTGGAGGAACAAAGAATATCATTCTTCATACTCCAAGACATTGATTTTCTGAATCACAGAGCTCTGTCATACTCATACCTCAAACAGAATACTGCTGCACAGGAGAGCATGGGGAAGTAATGTGAGCCCTACCTACTCATTTCAATGAAAATAAAGATGAGTATGGATAGAGGAGGGGTTTAGTTTTTCAAAACATACATTGAGAGACAGAGTACTGTTATCCAAAATTCTGCTGGTTACCTTTTAACACTGTCAACCTTTACACAGAATGATGCATCTTGTATCTCCCAGATACTCATGTTCCTGCATATCCCCATAAATTTAACTTCCTGTATGAGCAATGAATCAATGCATCATGAAAAGCTACGTTATACTTACAGGATTGTTGACAGCTTTAGAGAAGAAGGGAGGGTGATCAACTAAGCAGAATAACACAAGTTCTCCTAGCACCAGGCTAGCATAAAGGTAAGTTGTAATGTGGTGGAAACGGTCCTCCAGAAAGCCCTAAGAAACAAAATACTGTTGAGAATGCGGCAAGAACCTTCACATGAAATCAACTGAGAATGGTAACCTCTGTTCTACTAGCCATAAGCTCTGAGTTCTGGTTCAAAGCATGAGGTGCATTTTAAACTGTTGGTTATGTAGAACTACTTAAATAGATAACTCCTGAAACTGGAATATGAGAAAATGCTAAATAATGGACACATTTCTTATTTATAGTGATGGTTTTATTACAAGACTTCATAGCACTCTACTCAAGTCAGACATCCACACTGCAGCATTATTCAAGGAAACCTGGGTGCTCTAATGGGTAGAAGCTGTTGATATAATAAAACACTTGCCATGTTTTATTATAAACGATGTGTCTGAGGGGCTCCATGAAGGGTGCTGTAATTAATTTTGTGAAAGAGGGAAAGAGAAGAAAAAAATGAGGAAAAAGATCGGTTTTGGAGCTGTTTTTCGGTAGCAGGAAGTGACAAAGTGTTACTTCTACAAAAGACCTGCAGCCCAACTATCATTCAACACAGCAGGAACAAGCAAGCTCCCAGCTGTCTTTTGTTTAGTGGCCACATATTTTCCCCTATTACTTAAACATGGAGGTAACATAAGCTTTTGTCTACTCCTTGTTGTGATGGAAAGGTACAGCTGTTCACCTGAGGAAAACAGCCACTTATGATGAAGTGTCAGATATGTAAACCCAGCCAGCACAAATAAACATTCACCACAAATACCCGAATAACAAAAATGTATAATAGAGCATAGAATCATAGAACAGTTAGGGTTGGAAAGGACCTTAAGATCATCTAGTTCCAACCCCTCTGCCATGGGCAGGGACACCTCACACTAAATCATATCACCCAAGGCCTCGTCCAACCTGGTCTTGAACACCGCCAGGGATGGAGCATTCACAACCTCCCTGGGCAACCTATTCCAGTGCCTCACCACCCTAACAGGAAAGAATTTCCTTCTTATAGCCAATCTAAACTTCCCCTGTTTAAGTTTTAACCCGTTACCCGTTGTCCTATCACTACAGTCCCTAATGAAGAGTCCCTCCCCAGCATCCCTATAGGCCCCTTCAGATACTGGAAGGCTGCTATGAGGTCTCCATGCAGCCTTCTCTTCTCAAGGCTGAACAGCCCCAACTTTCTCAGCCTATTTTCATACAGGAGGTGCTCCAGTCCCCTGATCATCCTCGTGGCCCTTCTCTGGGCTTGCTCCAACAGTTCCCTGTCCTTTTTATGTTGAGGACACCAGAACTGCACACAATACTCCAGGTGAGGTCTCACAAGAGCAGAGTAAAGGGGCAGGATCACCTCCTTCGACCTGCTGGTCACGCTCCTTTTGTTGCAGCCCAGGATACGGTTGGCTTTCTGGGTTGCAAGCACACCCTGCTGGCTCATGTTCATTTTCTCATGCAAAATCTGTTGTATGGCCAGTTTTTAGTGACAGTGTTCATGTTCCTTTTGTTTTTATTTATATATGAAGTCCAACAGGCTCTCAGAAAACTACATTGTCTACATTGAAAGGGATACCACGGATGGAGATGACAAGTATCATTAATCATTTTTCTCAGCACATATTTTGAGAGGAGTTCTCCACCTCACAGTCAATGAAACAAAAGCGCCCTGTTTAGAGACTTCATATCCCTGCAGGTTAAAGATATGTGATTTCACTTACTCTTTCCAGGGTATGTTGGACTTTGGAACTAAACATCACAACTGTAGCCATGAATGAGAGCAGCCAGTAAATCAACAGGATGCCTGAAGACTGGATGCCTACCATTCTTTCTACTTGGGTAAGGAACATGGCAAGGATCTGCAGGAGAGTACAAATTTGTCCAAATAAATAGCTGGTCATGGAATGCCATTACTATCAAATTACAAATACGATAAGGAAAAATCAGATCTAGCTGAAACATTTCAAGATACTCAGAGCTTCAGTATTGTTCCTAAAAGGCTAAAACTGAAAAGCATTATGTGCAATTTTGCACTCAAGAATGTCTCTCCAGAAAGGGTATGTAATAAAATTACAAGTGGGAGGATCTAGGCTATGAAGATGCAATGACAGGAGGGGAAGATAGGCATTTAGGTTGAACAGGAATCCCATTTTACTCTAAACCAAACCACACTGCACACTGTGTTTATGCTAACAACATGATTAAGCTGGGCCACATGCAGACAAAATAAAGGAAGAATTACCATTGTGATTCCCACCACAGCAGGGCTAATGAGGAATGCTGGAGCCCGTCGAATTCCTTGGCTTATCTCCCACAGGATGAAGAAGACATTAGTAAAACACAGTATTACCAGGATGAATCCAAGGACCTGGGTCAGAAGCAGCAAACACATGTTAAAATGGACTGAAATGATGATGAGACAATCTACTGAACTGAGTGCTCCAAGTAGCCTGGGCAGTAAGACTGTAGAGGTGGAAGAGCAAGTCTGGGACAGACAGCATTACGGGAAGTAGCAGGAACCAAATGCAACTGCAGGGGAGAAGCTCTCATGTCAGCTCATCCTAAAATTTTACTTTATACTGACTGGACTTCATCTGAGTCAGTAAATGTCAAAGCAAACACAGAGATGGATCATCAGAAAAGAGCTGATCATATAGAAAAATTAAGTTCTGCAACAATGTTATAATGTTAGGATCAAACCCATCCTCCACCCTTACCATTTTGGCTTTGAAGATGTGGGACATCCTGATGTAGCCTTTGGTTTTGTGCCGAAGATACAAGTAGTAGAAAGGAAAACAGATCCAAAGATAGGCACAAGGGATCCAAGCAATGACTGTACTCTCAAAGCACCAGGTAAATCTTGGGGTGTTTGTGTACCATGTCTGGTTCCAGTCCTGTCACAGAATCAACACAGAAGTGAAACAGTAAGCCAACGTATGCAGAATTTCATGAGCGAATGCAAGTTTCGAATACTACAACTGAGATCTGCTATAATGTTAGAGGAATTTGATTTAGCGTTTCAAATGTAAAAGTCATTTGGACTCAGCAGTAGCTTTTGGAACAAATGGAAGTAGAAGGGGGGGGGAGGTTGGAAAAGTGAAAGATGCCAAAGAAAGGGTATCATGTATCATAATTAGGGAAAAAAAATTGGAAATTTAAGTTATTAAATGTGAATTGAGAAAAAGTAATTTGGGAACATAAATATTATCAGCATTTGGGAACCATCAGAGGGAATGACTGGTGAAACAGAGATTAGGATTAAAGAAGTGTCCTAGTGCATAAAGTGCATCACAACTGCATTTCCTCAGCTGTATTTATAATTCTTCAGGAATTTTTTGACTGAATAGTTAGATCTCATCTGCAAACATAATAATGTTGCAGATGAACAGGAAAGGGTGTTTTTTCTTCAGTATCTTGTAGAGATGGTTCAAGCCCTGTATGTGAAGGCGGTGATTCAAATCAAGACTAGGGCAATCACTTGATGGAAAGAGGAAGCAGGTAACAGCTCACAAATTCCTACAGGAGTTTATCAACCTTGAGGATGGCAATGCATGTGAGTCTGTACTGATAACTCATTTGAGCCCTTGGAAAGGTATTTCTGTAATGGGTCACTCAGGAAGGGGCTGATTTCAGTACTCTTGCACCAGTGCAGCTGGACTAGCTCCCACATAACTCCCATCAGATTTGCTGTAACTGACAGAGACCCAGGGATTTGGGTGAGCCCCAGGGAGGCAAAGTCCACACCAGCAACCTCTGATGCAAACACGCTTCGCTGCTCACACTGTATCTGTGCCTTACTCCATACCCCCTCAACCCCTGCTCCCGGGGGTGCTGTCCGCGGAGCGGCCCCGCTCAGGCGGAACCCGCGCACCCTGGGGTCGGGCCGGGTCTGGCCGCCGCTCGCTCCCTTCGCGGGCTGGTGGGGCCGGACCGGGCTCTGTCAGGCCTCCGTCAGGGCTCTGGCGCCGGCGGGACGGCGTCGCGGCGCCCGCTCGCTTGCTCGCTCGCTCACTCACCCAGAACCCAGCGGAGCCGCACAGCGCACCGCCAGCAGCCATCGCGCCCGCTGAGGTGGCGGGCGAGCCCTCCTCTCGGTGCCCCGGAGCGCCCCGTTCCATCCTGTCTGCGGGCGGCGGGAGCGGCCGCCAGGAGGGGACAGCCAGCCGGGCCGGCAGGGGGCAGCACCCGGCCCAGCCTAGCCCGGCTCTTCCGGCAGCGCGGCAGGCGGCGCTGAGTCAGGGAGCCGGTGGTGGCGGCGGTGGCGGTATGCGGGTCCCGGCGGCCGCGGGGCTGGCGCTGGGGCTGGTCTGCGCGCTGTGCTGCGTCCTGGCGCGGGGCTCCGAGGACATCGTCGTGGGCTGCGGCGGCTTCGTCAAGTCCGACGTTGAGATCAACTACTCCCTGATCGAGGTGGGCGCCGCCGCCCGTCCCTTCAGCCGGCCGGGCCGCGCGGAGCAGGGCGCCTGGCAGCCCTGGCTCCTTGTGCTCTGTCTGCCAGCCTGCAGAGCCTCAGCCTGAGCGCCTGGCTGCGCGGCATGACCACAGCCCGTGTGCGCCACGGCCCCTGGCTGTGGTTGCGGCCTGGTTTCAGTTGAAGTAGGTTTTCCTTCGGGCATTTTCTTCGGAGTCCGGGGCTGAATTTATCCGGCTTCGCCTGGCAGATTGCCGTCTTCTTGCAATAAACCTTTTCGCTGTTACCCCCCTGGGACACGCGGGAGCTGTTGTGTAAAAGCACTTGGTTAGAGAATACCTGGTTCAGGCGTTGTTCACGTTTTCTTAAAGTATCTTTTTTTGTTGTTTCTTTTAGATTAAATTATACACAAAACATGGTACCTTGAAATACCAGACAGATTGCGCGCCAAACAATGGGTATTTCATGATTCCCCTCTATGATAAGGTAAGAAACTGAAATACCAGTGCTGTCTGCCCTGTGATGGAGGCAGGAACTGCCTCCACGTTAAGATCTGCCAGCAGAACACCCCCTACACATGAAACATTTGAATCAGGACATCATTTGTTTTGGTTTTGACCAAACTTTCAACTGTTTCTTTTTGTAATGCTAGTATTTTATTTCTCTTTGTTAAGTGTTATGAGAAAATCCAGGTAACTTTAGCTGCTGTGTTGCACTTATGCTGCTTATCTGAATGACTGCAGCACTGGGAGACTGAGTTACTGGCAACAGCCCTGTGCTAGCAGCAGTGGAAATACTGCACAGAAAGTGCAGCTACCTACGTAGTACAGTTAAAGCTTTTGGTTACCTGCCTATAGAAATGCAAATAAATTTATCAGAATGTGTTTTGATATGACTGAATTGAAAATAACTTGAATGACTAATGGCAGATGTTAAAAATGTCTTAAGGAAATAATACCAGAAAAGCTCAGAATGTATCAAAAGTTTGATGTCTGTTTAAGCTGGAAAGAAATTTACATTTAAATTAAATACAAGCTGTCCTCAGATGGTCTAAGTGTTTTACTCTTTAAAAGAGATAGTTAACTTGGGGATCAGAAATAGAATCATAAAATAATAGAATGGTTGTGGTTGGAAGGGACCTTTAAAGGTCACTTAGTCCAACCACAAAATAAACCCTTCCCTTCCCAGTCTAAGAATGTGAGATGCCTTCTGAGCTCTGTGATTTTGTTCTTAGGCCTTTCCATGAATGAATTTCAGAACATACGTGGCAGAATGTAATGTGGTGCCCACTGCTTTAAAGAGCATCCCTGTGTAGATGAATACTCTTTTGGTGCAGAGCTTTTAATAGGATTGAAATTTTTTTATCCCCTGTCTGGGCAGAATGATTGAGCAGGACCTCCTAGTGGAAATACTAAAGGCTGATTTAGAGCACATCTGTTGGGGCAGGTAGAGATACATTTGAACACTTTCTAACTGAGCTGCTTGAACATGAGCCAAGTGTGGTCTGGATGGAGTATAAACATGGTGATACTTAATTTTGGTCTTAGCTGGCTGGATGTGAGCCCAGCATCCCAGCCTGTCTGGGTAGATATTGCTGCTGCTTTGAATGGAATGTCTTAGGTATGAGAAAGGGAGAAGAGTGACACTTGAATCTTGTGTTACTCTGCAGCTTGATGCTTATGTTCTGACTTTTTTTTTCCCATTCTTAATTGTATTTTGATCAGTGAAGACAGTTATTGCTTTCTTATTTCATTTTTAGGGGGATTTCATTCTTAAAATTGAGCCTCCCCTAGGGTGGAGTTTCGGTAAGTGCTCGTAAGTCTTCTTACAATAGGGTAGTGTATCTGCAATGTGAGACTTAACTATCTCTGACTTGCAGTTGGCAGGGAAAATCAAGTGCTTTTCTAGAGAAATAAGCTTTACTGTATGGTTTTAACAACTAAAGTGTTCTTACTTTACCAGAAGATAATAAGCTCTAAGGTAGACACTGACAAAGTAACCCATGAACTGAATCGAAGGAATGTGAGTTCTTGACAAAAATGGCTGCAGTGGGAGGAAGAGGATTTTCAACATCAGGGTTTCTGGGTGCTTTAACTTTGCTGAGGAAGGACTTCCACAGCAACCCTTGCGTGCTTGAGCTAATGCATTTCTGTGAGAGTTCTATAAAGCTAAAGCAGAATTGTTTCATGTTTGCTCTCTCACTAACTACCACGCTGTTTCATTGTGCTTCCCCTCCAGAACCAACCAGTGTAGACATCCATGTGGATGGCATTAATGACATTTGCACAAAGGGAGGTGATATTAACTTTGTGTTCACAGGGTTTTCTGTGAACGGAAAGGTTAGTCTCCTTTATCTTTATTTATTCCATTTTATGCTAATTCTGCCTTCAGAAAAACATTGTACTTCAGCTCTGCAAGTTATTTTTATCCATTTATTCTCTGGTTTCTGTTCATTTTGACAGGTTCTCAGCAAAGGTCAGACATTAGGTCCTGCTGGAGTCCAGGTTGTACTGAGAAATGCTGGCAGTGACATAAACATACAAGCAACTGTTACACAACCTGGAGGAAAGTGAGTGTGGGTGTTGCATACTTAATTCATCTGCTTGTTTACACAAGCTTCTTTCAATTCTGCCGTATCAACTGGGATGATAGCAGTTCTGAAATATTTTTTCTAACGTGCGTAGAGTCTAAGTTGTTTTTGTATAAAGAGATGTTTGTGACTCTTGCTGAAGAGATGTAACCTCTTTCTTGCCTTACAGGTTTGCTTTCTTTAAAGTGCTTCCTGGGGAATACGAAATCTTTGCATCTCATCCTACCTGGATGTTGAAAGAGGTTAGAGCCTACAAAAGTTCTGTTTCACCTGTTTGGTGAGGATGGATCTGCTAGACCGTGTATTGATCAGCTAGTGTGAGGAAGGGTTTTTGTGAGTAGACAAGATTAGTGGGGTTTTCAAGCATTTAATTTAGTTTGTCAAGAAACTGCCTTATGCAGGCCCAGTTTAGAGATAGTGGAGTCAGCCGGGGCAGAACTGGCAAATGAGCTCTTGCTTTTGGTCTTCTAATCTTACCCATTTTGCAAGAGCTCAAGTATTGTAGCAGATGCTCTAATCCCTCCCTCTCAGACTGCTTGCTTTCTGAGAAGCTCTGAGATCCCGACCCATTCCTAAATCAGTAAAACAGAAAGAATACTGTTTTGAAAAGTATCTTTGCTTTAGTGTCTTTGCATTTTGAGTAGCCTCTTTGGGCACTGCTTCTCTGGCCTCTGTTTCTGTTGTTGAGTGTACAACTTCTGATTGTTACTTGGGTGCTGTAAATGAGGTGCTTGCTTTTGATGGAGATATATGTGTTTCTGTATTTCAGTCAAACACAGTGGTACGAGTGACCAGTTCTAATGCTTATGCTGCTAGCCCTCTGGTTGTTGCAGGCTACAATGTTTCTGGGTCAGTACGAAGTGATGGAGAACCAATGAAAGGGGTCATGTTTCTCCTTTTCTCTTCTTCGGTCACTAAAGAGGTAATGGTGTATCAATACCTTTTCAATATGAGTATGGACATAAACAGAAAGCAGCTAAATAGCTTCCAGATTCATATTGCCCTGATACTCGTCTCTGTCTTTCATTGAGCTTGGGTTATAGGAAACATAAACTGTACAACACCTCAAGCTGCATTTTTTGTTTGCTCTTTGCTTCTTCCCCCCCTCCATCCCCCCCCTGCCCCTTTCCAACAATAGCCTTTAATACAATATTTGTATACATTCTGAGTTTTCACATGACCTCCATGGAATTACTCAGACGTGTAACACAAGCCATCTCTTTCAGTGTTGCAAAATTGAGGCTTAAGGTCTACATATTTTTTGGACACGAGAAATTCTTTTAATTTCAACTCTTTTAAACTCTTCATTATTATAGAATCATAGAATAGTTAGGGTTGGAAAGGACCTTAAGATCATCTAGTTCCAACCCCCCTACCATGGGCAGGGACACGTCCCACTAAACCATGTCACCCAAGGCTTTGTCCAACCTGGTCTTGAATACCGCCAGGGATGGAGCGTTCACAACTTCCTTGGGCAACCCATTCCAGTGCCTCACCACCCTTACAGTAAAGAATTTCCTCCTTATATCCAGTCTAAACTTCCCCCTATTTAAGTTTTAACCTGTCACCCCTTGTACTATCACTACAGTCCGTAATGAAGAGTCCCTCCCCAGCATCCGTATTATGGTCTTCAAACAGCCAGGTTCCCCACCAATCAGGCTGCTCAGGGGCATAGAAAACTAAGACCTGAACTGAAGCTGGGAACAAGTGCAAAATACGATAACAGTTCACATCATGTTATTGATCTGTATATTCCTTGTGGGTCAGCAGAGTTGAGGGCTATAGTTTTAGGACTATTTTTCTGGTTACACATTTTAGCATGTTAAATGTTGGTTAGTAAATGCGTTCCCTCATGAGGGTGATGCTTCTCCATGTTGGAAGACCAGCTTCTGGCACAAGATGTCGCCAGACAAATCCAGAAATTCACTATATGGGAGCTGTAATCTGTCTTCAGCATGTGGTCTTAATTGCTTTTTGACCTCTTGATGTGAAGACAAAGTTCAACGGCTTCTCTTGCCACCTTAAAAGTGTGTTATGAAAAGAATGTGAAACATTTGGACATGTGCTGTGTTTTTTAGAGCTCTGTTCTGTAATACTAACCTTGTCCGCAGAACTGAAGTCAGTTGATGTTAAGACATGCATTGCAGTTCTGGGGTACTGGGGAATGCTGAATTTCCATATTTTCTGTCCTAATTACTCTGAAGTTGATTATTGGCTGTTTTTTCTACCTTTTACCTACATGTGGATATTAAGGTGTGCTGTCAAACCTTGCCTCTAAAATGGTTTTGTACTTCGTATTCTTCATTCACAGTATAGGATTTTGAACCCTCCTACATCCCCCCGTAATTACTTTCTCTCTTCTCCCATGAGAAAAAAGTTGTTTTGCATTTATTGCCACAGGATGTTGTGGGCTGCAGTATTTCTCCTGTGGATGGATTCCAGTCAAGAGATGAGTCTCTTTCCTATTTGTGCAATGTTGTATCAAAAGAAGATGGATCTTTCAGCTTTCTTTCTCTCCCGAGTGGGAAATACACTGTGGTAAGTATCTAGGAAGTTCATTATTTGTCTGTATGTTGATTTTTTTTTTTTTCCCCAATTTCATTTTCTAAATGCATAACTTTATAGCTGTTAAATAGTTGAAATATTTTGAATTTGATGAAATAATCGGAATAGGAACCTCCAACCTAAAGTATATAACACTGAAATAAGTTGCTGTAATAGGGCTCTGTGGTGTGGTTTCTGGACTAATTGCAAATCAGGCTCTGAGTTACCTGAATGCACTGGCCAGTCACAGAACAACACCTAGAGGCTGCTGGGAGACTGGAAGTTTCAATTTGCTACAGCCTCAATGTCCTTTAAGTTCTCTTGTTTTCTTTTTGCCTGTTCTCTTTATTATATGCAGGTAGTTTAGGAGCATGGTTGTCTGTGCAGCACTAGAGTGATGGTCCTGCATTCTCAGTCTGTATGCTTTCGAAGTGAGATTCAAACTTTTCTTAATTCCTTTAACCCTTCTAGTGATGATACAATGTCCTATTTGTAAGCCTTTGCACATCCAAGTACCTTTCCTGTATTCTGAGTAGATGGTTTCTTTTATGCCTCTTCAGATAATCTCATATGGTTTCCATCAGACACTCTTGAAATACTGCCCTTATTCTTGTCTCCATCCCTCAGAGTTATTTTTCCCAGGAAGTTTGCAGCCCATTTGATCTTTCATAGAGGTGTGTGATGGTGATAAGGACATGGAAAACGGTAAAGGAAAATAATTCTGTCATCATTGCTTCTTAGGAGTCAAAGTCATATGTCTTCTTTCAGATACCTTTCTACAGGGGAGAGCGAATTACCTTTGATGTTGCGCCATCTAGGTTGGACTTCCTTGTAGAGCATGACAGTTTACAAATTGAGGTAGGGCATTCAGAGGAAATAATATTTTTGTGCCGTTCATTCCTGTAAAAGTGTAACTGATCTTAGCAGAAAGGAGGTGTATTATTAAAAAAAACTTCTTTGCAAGAAGTTTGAAGACATTGCTGTGCATATCCTCTTGTACAGCAGGTAGAAGGCAACATCTAGCATCATGCTGTATTTCTGCACTCAGTTCCTGTTACCAGGAAGAAACAAAATAGGAAGAAGTGGTCTGCTATGCTCACTTATATGTCCGTGTTGCAAACAGGGCAGTAATCTTTCGGGTTGCTTAAATTTTCTCATTCAGATTGTCAGATCTCTGGAGAAGGGCCTGTAGGCTTTTATGGTTTGCAGAGTGCCTTGTGTAATGGCATTATGATCTGGGATTTGGGTCTTCTGAACTGTCCTGATGCAGATAAATTGAGAATTGGTTCCTGTACGTAGGGCAGTGGTATGCCTGGAGACTGATACGTACTTTCATTATGATTATCTTGCTGCTTTCTTTTTTTCTTAAAGCTGGAAATAAATTTTCTTTATATATATGTGTGTGTGGGAAACAGTGTTGATTGCTGTAGGTGTGTTTGCTTTCACTGAATAAAGATTAATGTTAACTTTTTTTTCCGTATTTCAGCCTGTTTTCCATGTGATGGGTTTCTCCGTCACAGGCAGAGTGTTGAACGGTCCTGAAGGAGAAGGAGTTGCTGATGCCACTGTGACTCTGAACAATCAGATTAAAGGTATCCAGTGGTCTTGGTCTTTGTTTCTACAGGGAAGCCTTTATTAAGCTGAAGTACAGTAGTAGTGTTTGAGATGGAATTAATACTTCAGGATAATACACTACCTCTGTTGCCATTTATTTGAAAAAGTGTTTTTCATGCAGTTGATTAATTCTGCATTTTCTGGCTTAGATGAGAAAATTAGGTTTTCGTTTATTTCGCTGCTGAAAATTTCTTAGTTTCTTTCACCCCCGTGCCAAATTGTGCTTTTAAATACAAAAATGAATGTTGGTCTAGTATGAAAGCTTAATACTGTTTCTTTGTTGTGCAATATAAATTAAAATAGCATAAAGCTCTTTTGGCACATAAGGACAGACAGTCAACGCATGCTCTTTTTTTTAACTCTTCTTGTTATTTATTACAGTAAAAACAAAAGCTGATGGCTCTTTCCGCCTTGAGAACATAACAACAGGTACATACACAATTCATGCCAGGAAAGAGCATCTGTTCTTTGATACTATTACTGTGAAGATTGCACCAAACACACCTCAGCTAGCAGACATCATTGCAACAGGGTATGTACTGGTGATGGGATAAAAATGTCATTTGTTATGTAGACAAGGTCCTTTCCCATGTCATGCCCAGACTTGTGTACTGTTGTCAGGAGCTAAATGTTACTTGAGAAATTCAAGGTAAATAGGACACTGTGAGTGCTAATACGATAATACTTTGCTCAATACTAGTTAAGGCTTAAAGTATGCACTTAACCTCTTCCTTGCAAATGAAGATGCCAAGATATGGGTACATTGAGCAGTTTTAGAACGTTACGTGAACCAAGTGGCTTTGTGCCACTGATACTGCACCTCAGATAGTCTCCTTATGTGCAGGAGTGGGCTTCCATAGCTGTCTGGTGCTGTGGTATACCAAACATCTATATTTTATTGCTCACTCTCAAGGTCATAGTTGTCTTATGTGAATAATCCTTTTCTTGTTTGTGATTCTTTGCTGGGCATCAGCCAGCGTAATGAGAGTGAGGAAGGCAAATGGGGCATGATTCAGTGTCCAGGAGTTTATCCTGACGAGGAAATAGCAGCAGCCTCTCAGAGAAGTGAAAACTAGGACCTTAGTGAGGCAAATGGCAGCTAGGTCATACAGACTTAGGTAGTTAGTTAAAAAGAAAAAATCCATGTGTGGTATTAAATGATCAGTTACAGGGGTTGTTTTCAGTCACTAAATATGTGCTGTTGAAAGTGAAAAGTAAAACTTAACAGCTTCTAATTTGGCATCTTGTCTTGTTTTTTTCACAAGTGTAGGTGTACTAGGGTTGTGTTCCAGTGAATTACCTATCATATTTGAGGTCTTTCACACAAATCATTTCAAACTATTTAAAACCTGAAGGATGGCAATCCTGAGTCAATTGCTGCCTGGGGAGAAAGAAAAGAAAAACAGGAAAAAAGGCTTGAAGTGATTGGGTTAGTGATGGGGAAAAGTGAAACAAGTTGCTTGCAAATAGAAATGTAGCATAACATCATGGTAACTTTATAAAATAAAAGATCTCATTAATCGTACATGAGTTTGTATTTGCTCCACTGTGTTTGCTTACAGTATCTCTTTTGTATGAATACTCTTTCAGGAGAAATCCATTTCAATTCATGTGTTAGGACCTCAACACAGTGTGGCTTACTTTTTAAGGAAGGTGTTTTAAAACAAGGTTTTCTTTTATGAGCTCTGTCAAATCAAGATACTTATATTGATGGCTGGCTTTTATGTAACAGATTCAGTGTGTGTGGCCGGATCTCAGTAACTCGTTTCCCTGACACAGTCAAACAGATTAGTAAATACAAGGTAACCATGATGCCTCAAGATAAGGACAAAGCATCACTAGTTACGACAGAAACTGACCCACAGGGAGCATTTTGTTTTAAGGCAAAATCGGGGACATACAACGTTCAGGTAAGAAGAAGCTTCCATTTCTTTGTTATAGGACTGCTGGGAGGTTTTAGAGATTTTAAACATTTAGTCTCAAAAATTTGTGAAGTTAAATTTAGATTTTTCCTGGTCTTTTTCTCCTGTTTGCACTATTTAAACAATGGCAGTAATTTCCTTTTTTTTCCATTAATAAGCTGAGATTCCCATGCTCCTTGTTCTTTACACTTGTTAAAAGGAGATCAGGCCATTTCGGTTGAAAGCTCTTATTTCTCTCTCCTTTTAGTTGTGATATCCCTTAGACTTCTTCTTAAATTAATATATTATCCTATGAGACATGTAATGTTTACTTTTCTCAGCTGCCTAAATGCTTCCCGAGAACTTGTAGCAGAACCACCATGAATTTTGCATTGTGGAAGATACTGCAGGCTGGAAGACAAGGAAGTGCATGGTTATAATCATGGAATCATAGAATAGTTAGAGTTGGAAAGGACCTTAAGATCATCTAGTTCCAACCCCCCTACCATGGGCAGGGACACCTCACACTAAACCATGTCACCCAAGGCCTCGTCCAGCCTGGCCTTGAACACCGCCAGGGATGGAGCATTCACAACTTCCTTGGGCAACCCATTCCAGTGCCTCACCACCCTTACAGTAAAGAACGTCTTCCTTATATCCAATCTAAACTTTCCCCTGTTTAAGTTTCAACTTAACTTTCCTCTGTCCTCATAGATAATGAAATAGGCTAATGCAGAAGCATCATGAAGTTCAGACTTTTCAAACTGAGCTGTTTGGAGGATATTTAGCTCAGTTTTATTGTCATTCTTTGGAGGATTTTTATTACAGAATTTTGGAAAGCATATTTGGGAGACTAGTTTTGCTTTGCTGGGATTTACAGTAAATTTCCATTTTCTAATTTCTGGTAAGAGGATCAAACTCAGCAGAGTGGTGTATTTCGACTAGTATCTAAAGCTGGTGGTGTCTTGATATCATATACTCCACAGGTGATTATTCCAGAAGCTGAGACCCGAGCAGGATTGGCTTTGAAACCCAAAATGTTCCCTGTTACTGTTACAGACAGACCAGTAATGGATGTGACCTTCTCTCAGTTTTTGGCTTCCGTCTCAGGGAAGATCTCTTGTTTAGGTGAGCCAGTTCTGAAAGTGAAGTGGAAATGAGAACAGAGAACTTTAGCACTGCATGTGTGAATGAGTACTGTTTAGATCAAGACACATCAGCTCTTTTTTTGGGAGACCTTACAGCCTGGTGATGTACCTTAATAAAGTTTGAAGTAAAGTTATGTACCTAATTTTAATGCTTGCTAGGAATAAGCAAGTATTCCTTCCTCAGGAAGGAATTCTGACCTCTTTTCTTCAGAAGATGTGTAAGTTCTAGAAAGAAATGCTCCTGGCTGACACTTTCTGTACTGTACATCAATCAGAGGAGTATTGGAGGCGAAAAGACATCAAGGAATAAAAAGGCAGGGCATGGAAAAACCTGTAGGCTAGAGGCTCAGGCTCTCAACAGAAGCTTGCAATCTCTATTCTTTTTCGTGAGCTTTTACTCTTTTGTTTTAGTATAAGGTTTCTCTCTGCTGCTATTTTTACTGATTTCAGCAGATGATGATTGGAGCTTGACTTTTTTCTCTCTGAATCCTCTCTGCACTTCATGTTTTGTCTCTCAGGTGTTTACTGGGCCCTATAGTCTCTGCAGAGCAAGGTGGGCCCAGGGATTTAATGTTGGCCTCTGGTTGTTGCTTGCCATATTCTTTTATGATTAAAAGTCTCAAACTTTGTGAAGAATTCAAAAAAAGCACTGGTAAAAATGTGCTTAGGATATAAGAGTTTTAATTGGAAAGATTCTCTACTGGAAGAGAGTTATCATTTTAACCTTAGTACACATGAAGCTTGCTTGGAGGCCAAGCTGGCAAGCCAGAATGCAGTCTCATTTTCTCTGTCTTTTCTGCACAGATGCTTGTGGTGATCTGGTGGTGACCTTACAGTCAATGAGCCGCCAGGGTGAAAAACGCAACCTGCAGCTCTCTGGAAGCATGGACTCAGTGGCCTTCACATTTGAAAATGTGCTACCTGGCAAATACAAAGGTTGGGTTATGGGGAACTACTTGAAGTCTTACCTTGGTAGCTAAATTTGTGACTTAATCTGTATACTTCTGTTAATAGATACTGTTTGCAGTATGCCCACCATGGAACTACTTTTGAAACTTAAGAGGATCATGAAAAATACAGGAGTTGTTGTGGTTTAAACCCAGCCAGTAACTCAGAGCCATGCAGCTTAATAATGAATTTATCCCAAGCCTAAGATTAGGGGCAGACCCTGCTTCCAGAATACTTCTCCTAAGAGCAGCATGTGTTTTGGCCAGCCTGCCTTGGTCTCCTACAGGAATAAATTGTTTTCCAGAGAAAGGTGTGGAAGCAGTGTATACAGATTGCTCTTTTTATACATGAGTCAGAACATCTTTCCTCCTGATGAAATTGGAGGTTAGGTTCTGATGTCCTGTAGGCTTCTTTGACTGTCACAGTGGTAATGCACATTGCAGAACTTCCCAGGGTGACCAGACTTCATTAATCCTTTTTATAATAGCTTTTCTGTTATGAGACATGCTGGATTCTTGGTGATGCTGCAGTGAGACGGGTCTATTCCAGCAGTCATTGTCTGGCTTTGAAGTTTATTGTCAGGGAAGTTAAAGTGATATGAGCTTTTTGTACCACAAAACCTGCTCTTATTCACGCAGGTTTACATTACTAAAATGCTTTGTGTGGTGTATATTCTAGTCAGCATTGTACATGAAGACTGGTGCTGGAAGAATAAATCTTTGGAGGTGGAAGTCATGGAGGAAGATGTTTCAGGAGTGGAATTCAGGCAGACTGGATATATGCTGAGGTGTTCCCTTTCTCATGCAATTACACTGGTACGTAGATAACGGACATCCTTGTATTTTTTTAGTAGATTTGTGAAGGTAGGTTGGGATATGCTTGGAGTCAAGCTTTCTTATGTCTCTATGCAGTCATAAAGCACAACAACATTCATGTTTTGAGTGCTTTGAGATTAGTCTCTCAGATTTAGTGAAATGGTCTTATGTTAACTGCTATGAAAGAGAAGCATTAATGTATGTTTAGGCAAATGCTGTTTTAATTTTGTTGTTTGGAAGTTAGTAACAGTGAATTGTGTTGTGGCTTCACAGGAATTTTATCAGGATGGAAATGGACCAGAGAATGTTGGTGTTTATAACTTGTCCAAAGGAGTTAATAGATTCTGTCTCTCAAAGCCAGGTAACAGCTCTAAAATGTTAGTTTAAAAAACAAAAGAAACCAGTCAAGTAATACTGATGGGAATTAAAAAGAAATCTCTTGTGGTTTCTGAGAGGCATTATTTCATTTATACATATGTGTATATATATATGTATATAGATGCTCTGTTCTAAGTTTTTGGAATTTTCGTGTTATTTAGTCCTTTACTTAAATACAGATTCCAGAAGTAAAATAATTATTTTCTTTTACTTGGTGAAGGGCTTTGATCTCCAGTGAATGAAGAGCGTGTTCAAATAACCTTGATCATATGGGTTTAATTTCAATACAGGATTCTTGAGGTATAACTGGTAAAAGTACCACAAGGTTATCTATAACAAGAAAAAATAATGTTTTTAAATTAGATTTTTTTTCCCTGTTAACATCTTAGAGCTAATTCTCTGTTAGGCCACCTTAGGACAACAATTAACGAATTTATTTGGTATTGATCCAATTTTCAGCTTTGAACATTTAATCCTTAGAGCCATTGGTTTCATTCACAATACAATAACACAATAGTTCTATAATTAGTCAACGAGTATTAGCTATGGGACCATAATAGGTTACAGCTGAGCTTGTTTGATTTGTTCCATTTGTAATTATGTTTATCTGTGGTGATGCCTAATTGTGTTTTATGTCAGCATGCATGAGAAATTGCACAGCTTCCAATAGTGATCTGTGACTGTATAGAAGCAAATTAATTGACAAGCATTTGTGTGAAAGGGAGATATATAGTCAGATTTTATAATTGCTTCTGTACCATGGGTCTCTTGAGAGTGCAGCCAACACACTAACCTTGAATTTTTCCAGCGGATCATTCTCTGACTTAATATTTACAGGTGTATATGAAGTGACACCACGTTCCTGCCACCAGTTTGAACATGAGTATTACACTTATGACACGTAAGAGCCTATCGATACGCTTCCATAAAGCTTTCTTCTGCTGCAGCAACTTCAGGATGTGTTTCAGCACTTCAGGATGCGTTGCTATGACTGTCTCTGACCAATAGAGGGGAGCTTTAGGAAAATGTATCAGACGTTCACCTGCATTTTTGAGTCTTAAGAAAATAGCTAATGATAGGCTTAAAGATGCTTTTGGTATTTTAACTGGATGTTTTTGTCAGCCTTTTGTCTAATACTGGTTTCTTTGTTTTGTAACAAAGGAGAGATATTACAGTGGAAATTGTTGATCACCTGAGAGAGTTGAAATGCAAAAGATGGGATAGTAAGTTTACTCAGAGGCACGTACTTACTGTTGTACATCCCTAGAGCCATGACTCTCTGGTGATTTGATTCCTCTCTGTCCAGTTTTTGCAAGCTGAATAAGTATTCACCCTAATGACAAGTAAGCAGTGCTGATCTTCCTAGGATAGCCATGTTTTACTAGTTATATATAGGTTGTGGTCTGGCAATGTGCTTAATGGCTCTTTGCTTCCAAAAAGAGTATTTCTGTTCCCAGACTACTTCTAATTCATGAACATGGCAGAAAATGAATTCAGCATTAAGATCTTTTTCTTTTCTGCTGCGCTAGTGTATCAAAACTGATGCACTCAACAGGAGAGCCAGCACAGCGTGAGTGAATGGGTAGAAGCAGAAACCCTCTTTCAGCAGCAAAGCACTGTCAGGCTTTTGGCATCTTGGTGAACTATGTCTAATATGACAAGCTTTTGAGTGTCCTTCTGTTGTGTGTAAAGTACATATGAAATCAAGTCAGCTTTAGTTTGAGAAGAAGCAGGAGGAACAAAGGAAGGACTTGGTTTGGCCTGTTGTCATGCCATAGTTTGGGGTTCAGAGCTGGAAAATGCTCCCTTTCCGATATGCTAATATCTCAGCACTACAACTTTGCTGAGTAATCTGTATGTTATCTTTTATAAAGCACTTCTGACTTCGAGATGAGAGCATAAACTTTGCTAAATAAAATTTGGTTATTTTCTTTAGGAGGGGGACCTTGAATTCATCTCTGTCACTTTGATTTACAGGTCCTCTCCTAGCATACTGACGCTCACTGCGATTCGACACCATGTCCTTGGCACGATTGTAACAGATAAACTGATGGATGTGACTATTACTATTAAGTAAGAACAAAGAAATCTTGGTGCTATAAAAACTGGAAGAAAGACATCTCTCTCATAAAGCTTTACTCTGGTTTTAATACCACAGTGGCTGTTTTCTAAAGGGATGGCATCCAGCTCTAGACTGCAAGAGGTTTTTATGCTGAGATGTGCTTTGAGTTCTTTGTAGATAGGTAAATACGTCCTAGCTGTTGTTTTGAATGTTGTCACTTCATTTCAGTATAGTCCCTTTCTGCTTGTGTGTCATGATAATAAGGGATTATTATCTGAGTTTTTGCGCTTTAGTGAACTGAAATTTCAGAATTCAGGGGTATTGTTTTAGCTTCCATCTGAGCTCTTTTAGCACTAGCATCTATTTTTTTCTCTTTTTTTTTTTCTTGTTTCCTCAGAATGAGTATCTGCTGCTTTAGAGCATTGTTGCCGGTGTGAAGAGGGTTATAAAAGGAAAACCACGCAGAGTGATCACACACTAATGAGCCAGTTTATGTTTAGCTGAGCAGACAGCTCACTACAGAGCACTGATTTGGGAACAGCTTTAATTGTATGAGGTGCCAGATCTGCCTGGAAGTGTCTGATAATGATGAGTGCTTTATTAATGCTCTGCTGATGTCTCCTTGTTCTAGACTATGGGTTCTCAAACTTTCTGGAGTGTAGAAATATGTTTTCAGAGAACAAATTACCTGCCGAGCGTTCCCTTGAATTCCCTGAGTTTGTTCAACCTATAACTGCAACTACTGAGCAACCACAGCAGTTGGAAAAGAAACATCGAGACAACAGAATGCCATTAGGATTTTAAAAACAACTTAGTGAGGAGATTAATATTGTACTGGCCTTCTAGGCTGGTTGTTTCTTTTGAGACAAGTGCTTTGAAGGCAGCTCAGTTGCCACAGCGTGTCTGTGTTCAAGCCTACCTGAAGCTTTTCAGCCAAAGTCCAATTTGTGAAGTGGCATCAAAACAAAAGGAACAGCTCTGGATTTAAAAGCAAGCCAGTTGTTTTTAACAAGTTTGTTAAAAACAGATCCATGGTAGGGATCTGTTAACTTTCAGTTAACCAAAACAACCTGAACAACCCCAACTAAAAATAAAGCTGATTCTTAACACTTTTTGATGATGGCTTGTTATGCTTGGAAATAACACTGTAGTAATTTACTATGGATATCAGGAGAATGTATGTGTGTTTATAGGTTTTAAGACAATTTTTTTATATATGTTTCTGTATTGTCTCTGGACTGCAGAGAAATAATTTAAAGCCTTGGTGAAACTTAGTGTGGTAGGTTAATGGTATCTGTTCCTCTTAAAAAAGACAGAATATAGGTGAAGACTGACGCGGGAGAGAGAACTATCCTGATAATCTAAAGTGGTTGCGGCGAAAGTAATCATGATCATTGCAGTTCACTCCTCGTAGAGAATTTTGCAATGTTCTCTGGCAGTTTTTCAGACTATTGCAAAAGAGACAGAAGATAAGATACAAAGGATGGTTGGAGACTAGAATAAATTGCTAGAAAAGAGAGGGTGTAAGATCTGGTAAAGGGAAACAAGATGCATTGTTCTGAGCTGATAGAAATAATGTGGTTAAACTTACCTAGCAATCTCTTCAGTGGACAGCAACAGGATAGCTGGATGGTTCAGATCTATAGGGCAGATAGGTTAGAACTCAGAGCTCTTCCTGGGAATTGCCAACTATTGGAAGTATTTATTTGTGATAGAAGTTGTTTTCTCCTGGTAGACTCCTGAGAGGTAGGTTCCGAGGGAAAGGTCCTATTATGAATAAAAATAGGGAGCTGACCTGCCTTTTTGTTTATTTTGTGTAACTCATCCTTTCTGTATTAAGCTGCTTGTCAGGTTTGGAATTCCAGCTTTTCTTTCTCAGTTTAGGGCTTTGTTAAAAGTACTCTTGCAGACTCAAAAAATGTACCACCCCTGCTGGCTTGTCAGTGCTGCTGTGGGAGGTTGTTGCCCCCCCAGCAGAGCTGGTGTATGGTCCTTGGTACAAAATCAAGACTGCTTACCATAAGCTAGGCTAAGATGCTGGACGATGCAAAGTGGTTGATGTGTAGGCATATGACACTGGCTCTGCAGTGGGATGCTGAGGCACGCAGGAGAAGGAGGCAACAGGGATGTAGCTTCTTGAATGGTTATTGCATGATGAGGTAGAATTTGTGAGAGTTGCAGATAGGTCCTTTCCTGCTAGGGCAAGTAGGTCACCTGTAGTCCCTATGAATGTGCCTTTCTTGTAGTAACTGATTGATACAGAGGCTAAAAGTTTTAGCTGTGCTTGGAATAAATTGCAGGAATTGATTTAAAAAAGAAAATAAATCCTAGCACTTGTCTGCTGTGATATAAAGGCAATAATTAACAGATAAAACAAGCTTTTATCCCTCCATGTGGAAGGAGCTGATTTTGTTTTCTCCCCTGTGCTTTCAGGTCATCCATTGACAGTGAGCCTGCCTTAGTTCTGGGGCCCTTGAAATCTGTACAGGAGTTACGTAGGGAGCAGCAGCTGGCAGAAATCGAGACCCGCCGACAGGAGAGAGAAAAGAAGGGTCAAGAGGAGGAAGGAGCAAAGCCACCAGTGCAAGAAATGGTGGAGGAACTCCAAGGACCATTCTTATATGAATTTTCATACTGGGCAAGGTAATACCAAGCTCCAATGGACACGGTGTAATCTTTGTTCTATTGTTTGGTGTTGCCACCAGACAGAATAGTGATATATTCTATGCAGGAAGGGTGCTCTATGGGTACCCGTGCATGTTCCTGTTGACTGTCAGCTAAATGAAAACTAGTACCGTAGTATGAACTTTGCTTAGGTTATTGTTGGCACTTTTTCCTTGGGGTATTTCGATGGATTCTTGGGTCAATATGCACATGATACTCTGGATAGAATAAAATATTCTCTTCTACATGGGAGCTGCTAATTTTGTTTTCTTCTAATCTTATTTGTGTTTTACAGGTCTGGAGAGAAAATTACTGTAACACCATCATCAAAAGAACTGCTTTTTTACCCACCTTATGTGGAAACAGTTGTTAGTGGAGGTAAATATAAATAAAATCTACCTTCAAAGGAGTAGATTTTTAAGGCAGAAGGGTATCCATATAGGTGAATGTATGACTAGGTCTTCAAAGGTAATATTAGGAAAGTGTCCGTTTCAGCTATTTCTTTTGGCCAATTTCACTCTGAAATTTGGAAGCATTGGTATTTGGTAGAGGGTGCAGATACAGTTTGTATCAGCAGAATGTGCTTCCAAATGCTGAAAGACCACCTGGCACAAGAGGAAGGGCTAGATTTCTGGGTTAGATGCTCAGAATTGTTCATCTTACTCTCATTTAGACAAATAGTTGTGCAAAGCAATGTTTGTCATTTGAGTTTGTTCCCGAATTCAAGTTTCTGTTAAGTTTGTTGGTTGGTTTTGGGTTTTTTTTTGGTAGTAATTACAATAATAAAAATAGTCACAAAAAAGTAAATTTCAGAATTGTAAGGATTATTATCAATCGATGTTACTTGTAAGTCATTGTCCATCTTGCCCTCAGATTGCTCAGATGGTGTAAGTGAACAGACTTCGAAATCACTAGATAATGTTAAGTATCCCTTTTTATGTGCCTCTTTGTTGTACACGTTCTAAATATGTTGGAGAGGAGGCAAATAAAATGTTACTTATGTCATTAAACATGACATATGCTGGCCTGAATTTGAACTCAAAAGAATTTTGTCCAAGTTACGGGTAGTATCAGCTAGAAGGGCACGCTGTTGGAATGTTCTCCAGTACATGGCTGCAGTGCATGTAACTTAACAAAGCACTTAGCAAGTCCAGAATGTTCGTTTTGGAGATGAGCTTTTTAGCTTTGTAACTCAGATACTGATTTTGGGAGTGTTCTGGTGTTTTGAGATGTGCTGAGAGGCCATGCAATTGTCTTGGTTGATCTCTTATTCTGAAGTTAAAGAACATCAACTGGTCACTTTGGAAGTAGTTAAACTCTTGGTGTAAGACAAAGTGGTGAGTGTGTTTTGACTTTCTTGTTTGTGTGAAATCCCTTTTGCAATGACCAAGAGAGTTGTCCTGGAAAGCTGATAGAGATTCATGGAAAAGCAGGCTTATTTCTGGAAGGGCGAATTCATCCTGAATTGGAAGGTGTTGAGATTATCATTGGTGAAAAAGGAGCAACTTCACCGCTCATCACAGTTTTCACTGATGACAAAGGTGCTTACAGGTAATTAACAGATTAGTTTTGATCTTTTGGATTCTGTAGTTAAAATGCAGTCGTGACTTGACAATGTGTATGTGCTATCCAGGTGCTATTTTTATAAGAGTTCTTTCCTTTTATTTGAAGTGTTGGGCCACTCCACAGTGACTTGGAATATACAGTCACCGCTCGGAAAGAAGGGTTTGTTTTGACTGCAGTAGAAGGAACAGTTGGGGACTTCAAAGCTTTCGCTCTTGCTGGGGTGACGTTTGAGGTAATGTTATAAACACTTTGGGTTCTGAATGAATAGTGTTTGCAGTTAGAGATAGACAGGCAAAAAAGTTAGCTTACGTCTCCCAGCCAAACACAAATGGGTGTGGGATTTGGTGATAATCTTGTCAGGGGAAACAAGTCTCAGTGGATGACCTTAGTTGCAGGCCATGAGTTACCATGCAGAAGCTATTTTGCAAGGTTTATAGAGGGAAGGAGCCTGCACACCAAAAGACTGGGTTTCTTTGCTTATGTAGAGTTGGACCACATTCTCTCAATGATTTTTATCCCACAAGGTGATCTTTTCATGTGCAATCTGCTTCTAGTCTTTGGGATACTTTGTTCTAGCCACCAGCTGTCCTGTGAAGTGATAGAGAATGACTGCTCTGGTGGCACATGCTATACATGGCTGGGACTGCCCAGGTGGTGACAGCAGAAGCTTCTGTAGCTCTGCAGTCTCACAGAAAGGGATGGACTGCAGATGTGGCTACTTTTCTTCTGCTTGCAGCCGAACGCTCAGAGCCAGCCCATCCATGCACTCTGCAAAGGGCTTCTGAACTGAACCCTTCTTTGTAAAGCAGTCCTCACACTTAAAATTACTGCTTTTCCAAAAACAGATCAAGTCAGAGGATGACCAGGCTCTTGCTGGAGTTCTTTTGTCTCTCAGCGGAGGGGTGTTTCGGTCCAACCTCCTTACGCAAGATAATGGCATGCTGACTTTTTCCAATCTGGTAAGTTGAAATGAATTCTTCTGATTGTGGCTGCATGTGCAATGCTGTGTTACTTGCCCTCCAAAATAGGGATGCTATTGGCTCCCTTCAGTGGCAGGGGATGTAGGCCTCCTTTGAAACTGGAAACCACAATGAGCAATGTAGGTCCCTCAGACCGGACAACGCTTAAAATCTTACCAAGTGAAAGATGCAAAATCTAACCTAACGAGGTTCTTCACAACAGGTAGTAGATAATGTTGATGGATCTCAGTTACTAATTTGCAGTCTGTAAGCATGAAACAAGCCAATTTGTTGATGATCATTTGAAAGAAAGGAAAGAAATCTAATTAGATTATTGATCTGTGTATGTGCATAAACATGCCTGAATAGTTTCCTTGCAGACATCCTTCTCTCCTGGTCACTTCCTTCTCCTTGAGGTTTTGTGGTAAGGTTTTAGTTTCCTTTCACTCTTCAGGCTTTATCACCTAATGGAGTTTCATGGGTTTATTGCCCGATGTGCTCACTGTTTTTCAGTGTTCACACCTTTTGACCAGTTTAACCTACAGCTGGGATAGAGAACTTGAGCTCTTTAGGGAGCTCTTGCAGAAATACAGTTGTTTGGAGTTGGTGAATTTTTGTGCTGCTATCAGTAAACAGCTTGGTTTATGTCTCTCTGCAGAGCCCAGGGCAGTATTACTTTAAACCGATGATGAAAGAGTTTCGCTTTGAACCATCATCACAAATGATTGAGGTGCAGGAAGGACAGAATCTCAAAATTCGGATAACTGGATACAGAACGGCTTACAGGTCAGTGAAGCTGAAATGTCATGTAAAATGCTACCTACTCTGTCAGGAGGCATGGTGCAAAATATATGTCTTCTCCTGATACACCTCTGTTCTGAAGGTTTGGAAGGTACTTCTGAAGGCACAATATAACTTTGTTATGCTGTGTATAAGTACTTTTTTTTAGCCTTATCTCATGCATGTTGATATATAGCTAAGCCCAGATGGCAGGTCTGTAAGGAGAAGTATTGCTATGAAAGTGCTATGTTGGTGGCACTGGAAGTGGCTTGTGCTGCATCCAGTGGAAGAGGACTACTCTAGGGACCTGACTTCAAGTTCCTTCCTTTTCTTGCCCTCAGTGGTAAGTGCTGCTGTTCATGGAGGTCAGAGAACTTGGATTCCTGAAGTTGTGCTCTGAACTGCAGCCAGTTCTACACATTACAAGTTCACTTTCTCCATGCTATGCTAAATATATTAAGTACTTTTTCATGATTTATACCAATAAAATATATTAAAAATGTACATCAATTTGCAGCACATCTGTAGCAGTTGGTTCTTTTTATACCTCTAGCTGTTATGGTGCGGTTTCTTCTTTAAATGGAGAGCCTGAGCAGGGGATCTCAGTAGAAGCTGTGGGGCAGAAGGATTGTAGCATCTATGGAGAAGACACGATAACTGATGAAGAGGGCAAATTCAGGCTACGTGGCCTTTTGGTAAGGATGAGAATGCTCTCTCTCATTTACTTTTATGTTAATGTGATAATGGAGCAATAAAATGTTTTATTAATTAACTTCCAATTTCTGTTTCCCCATCACATTTGCTAGCTTAGATTCTCTTGAGTCTGTCTGTGTTAGGAAACACTGTTGTGTAGTAAATGTTGATTCTAGTAAAGGGGGATAAATGTATAAGTAGTAGAACAGGCTTTTAGTACAGAACTCTCTAGAACCTGCTGCTAGTACTCTGTGATGGCCTCCCACAAACACTGAACAGTTCTCATGACATGACCTGAGCCCCCAGGCAAGGTTCTGAATATGTCTAGCAGTTGTTCTGCAGTGTTCTGCTGTTAGAGCAAAAGAATTTGGGGAAGCATTTAGTTTCTCTTGTGAAAATACTGGGCCAGGATATTTGCCTGCTTAGGCAAAAGAATTTGGGGAAGCATTTAGTTTCTCTTGTAAAAATACTGGGCCAGGATATTTGGTGTATGTCTGATGTTGGTTGTTCAGCACGTATTTGAAGTAAGCTAATCTGCAGGAAATGTGAAAGCTGAATTTATTGGATATTTATTTATTTATTTATTGGGTTGGATAATATGCGTAGTAAGCAATTTGCTGAAGTAGAAAGTATTTGATCAGGTTTTACTTCTGTTTAATGTTTTCTTTCTAGCTAAAACACTTCACAGCAGATGATTTAACACTGTAATGTAATAAACTTGTGAAATTTCTGTGATAGCCTTTTCGTGTTTGCTGGCAGTAAACACCGTTAATAGTGTTCTTGAGTTAAATATTCTACTTGGGAAAAGGAAGACTTTAACTGGGTGAAGTTAGATCTGTTTGGGTGGTGTATCCTAAATGGAATGTTAGAAAATGCTCTTAATGTTTCCTAAAATTTAAGTGTGTATTATTCAGTGTTGGGATTTATCATCTGAATGTTGCTTTTAGCCTGGTTGTGTGTATCATGTGCAACTCAAAGCTGAAGGTAATGATCACATCGAAAGAGCTTTACCACAGCATCGGGCAATTGAGGTAATTTCTTTTTCTGTATTATAACTTAATTATGAAATGCATCTGACAGGGCATTATGTCTGTTCTGTCAGCAGCAATGTACTTGAATGCATTCTGTTTAGACAAGTGGCTTTCAGCAAGTTAGCTCCCTAAATACAGGCCCCATATTGTGTGATTCAGCACCATAGCTTAAAAGTGAAGTAAGATAAGCCCAAACAGTGAACAAGTGGAAAGGATTCTTTCACAGTCACAAAGACTGTACACCAAGAATCAAGAAAGTATATGTATAGAATACCTTTCAGGATTTCTTTATGCTGTGGAACAAAGCAGTAGTGACTTGAGGGTCTTATAAATTGTCATGTTTTCCTATCTATGTATTTAGTTACTGATTGATAGATAGATTTCTTTATGCTTTATTTGGTCCAAATCCTGCAGTCTTGATGTAGGTGAAATTTGTCATTCAGGCTAGCAAATCTTTATAAAATGTAATAATAAATTTGAATTGAAAACTGATGAAATGTTGCTAAATATTCTTTCATCCTTACAGATGCATATTAGCTGCCTCGCATTTCTCTCTTGACATCAAGTAAAGGTTAATTAGTCTTCGTTAGTTGTACAGAACTTTTCAGTGGGAGATGGTCATTATTTGAGCTCAGACACTCGCCTGACCAGGGTGCCCTCCTTTACAGCAAAAGAGAAAGGCAGAATCTTTCAAGTCCTTAGTGTCTTCCTGTTAAGAGTGCTTGCTGGTTGGGAAGGGGAAGAGCAAGCCAAATTCCAGAAAATCATCTGAAGGTTATGTATTGCAAATGACAGCTGTATGCAGTAGCTTGTACTAATAGTATCCTTGCTAGCCTGCCATTTTCTCCAGGAGAGAAAGGGTTTGAAAGATACCTGCAGGAAAAATATACAGCCTTAGTGGCACCAGACTGTTGATACAGCCCCTGGCCTAACCATAACCTGTCTGTTGCCATAGTTCTTATTTTAGTAAATGTCTTTCTTTACTCTGATCAGAGTTCAGATGTAGGAACATAAATGTTTCATATTTTAAACAATTTTGAAGAATATAAAGTTACGTATTTTCAAAGTAGGTTATATTATATGAGCATATTCCTCGTTAATTAACCGGATAAACATCCTAGCGTAATAATATGTATCTCTCAGCACAGATGCAAAATAGAGAGACCAGTGTTCAGGTACCAGGCCTTCCTTTGTATGTAACTCAGCCTCTTACAAAATAATGCATGCTTCTGATACTTCTTCCATTTTTAGTTTAACTTAATGCCATCAGTCCTGTACTGATAATGTCCAAGTCTTTAATTGCAAGCTGTTCACTCTGGAGGAAAAGTATTTGCACTTGGAAAGCCTTCAAGTTTCCATGTGGTTAGTATAGAACAAAATACACTTTTTGTTTTAACAGTTGAGCAGTATTTGTGTTGTGCTGGCTGTCCTGTTAACTGCTCCTGTGTTGGTAAAAACATGGCTGTGTTTTATGTTGCAGGTTGGGAACAGTGACATTGGTGATGTAAATATTATAGCGTTCCGGCAAATTAATCAGTTTGATTTAAGTGGAAATGTAATTACATCTTCTGAGTATCTCTCCACATTATGTGTAAGTTCAAGCCTTTCATCTTTGTTAAGTGTGTTTGCCATTGGTTTCACTGTTTTTTGGCAAGGTCACTGGAAATTGTTCATTGGCCAGAGCACACATTTAGTTCAGATTATGACTAATACTTTAATGAAGGTGAATTTGAATTCCAGGTAGAATTAAGATTCCAGTGTTCCTGACTGCTTGCTTCAGTGTTTCCACTTTTTTTTTCATGGGAGTATGTTTAAGAAATCCTTTGTTCTGGTTGGCCTGTACATTTCTGGGTCTTCTTCCCTGGCCTTAGGGAGAGCAAGACAACAGGGGTGAAATGAGTCCTCTGTACCAGAGAACAGCATTAATTCCTAAAATACGTGAAAGTTTTGACATGCATATCTGCTAGCAAGAAGATACCATGTGAATGCAATGATGCCATAGGACACATGGATTTAAAATACAGTTATAAGAGAGACAAATAGTAAAGCTGAAATTTTCAAAATTCAAAACACTGCACTATGAGCTGGAAAAAACAACCCCCATGATGTTTTTGGCTTAGCATGCAAATGCTGGAAGCACAGTAGTGTGGTAGGATTTACAGTACCATTTCTCAAGTTTGAAAGCTACGTACATTTGCATATAAATGTAATGCCTGGATTTATTTCAGACTAGTGTGTTACGCATCTCACCTGCCAAGTTCTCATGCTAAGCTGTTGGGCTTTTGGGAGACATCCAAAGGATCCAACACTCAGAGAAGGTGTGAAGGGAAAATGTATCACCTTACTGAAGAACACCTGAGCAAGCTTCCTATCTTTCTGGGGAAATCTATACCCTTTCAGTTCAGCCTAAGCAAACAGGAATGGATGTCAAAATTTGATTATAAGGAAGTTACAGGCCAGTACATGGTTCATATTAGGATGGGTCTTGCGTTGCATGTGATGCACATGTGCTGTTGATGAGTGCGTATCATCACCTTTGCTTTCAAGGCAGAAGTTCTTGTCTTTGAAAGATGTTCTGAGATTTGATACCGACACAAGCGAGTGGTTTTGCGACCTCAGTCTGTCCCTTTTGGTGACGTGGGCTTGATGAAACAACAGGAAATGCTCTGCTGACCTGTGGTTTGAGCTGCAACCACAGTAGCACTGAGCAGAAGTAATGAGAATTTAGTTGGGCTCTGCAACGAGAGCCAAGTCTTGCAGATACCTGATCCAGAGGTTTACAAACAGTGGTACAGGTGCTGCTTCAGAGTGGTCCACAAAGCCCATCACTTTGCTTACTGTGTCCTCTGGAGGAGGCACAGTGGCTGATAAAAATCGGTGTGTTCAGGCAGCCTCATGTAAGGAGGTGCTGCTGCCTCTACCAGCCTTACTTGACTGTGATACAATCCTCTCTTAATTATGCTGCTTTCTGAGCAGACTGTGTTTGCTGTGGACTTCAGGCCTGTTCTATAGCTTGAGAATGTCTAGCTTGTTAAATTTCAGTGTACAGAAATTGGAATCAAGCAAAATGAGCCTGTTGGAGAAATAGAAACAACCCCCAGCTGCAAATTCTATGAAGCTGCTGGGATTATTTAGAAGAATTAATTGGTTCTGGTTGATGCACAGCACAGGCTACTTTTAATACACTAGATTGGTGAAAATATCAGACATCAGTTACTCTGAATTACTTCAAGTTCTGTGAGAAGACTGTTTCTGTGACTTTTCGCATCCCAGATTAGAACAGTTCCAGGTGTTTTTATTTGGCAACTTTCTGTTTACAAAACACATGATGAATTTTGAAGTGCTTTTATCCCTTAAGATGTGGGATGTCTGAAATATCTATTGTGATGCTTAAAAGTACCTGGTTTGTGCTTTCTTCTTTCCTTCCTAGGTGAAGCTCTACAAAAGTGAAAATCTTGACAACCCAATTCATACAGTCAACTTAGGCCTATCCCTATTTTTCCATTTCCCACCACTGCTCCGAGATGGTGAGGTAAGGATATTGATAAATACTGAGCTTAGGTCATTTAATCTTTTTCTCTAAAGATACAGAAGTTTATTTCTGGTGTATTCGTGCTGAAGCGACCAATGTCTCGGAAGATTTGAAGCCTGTTAAACTGCCTTTAAATCTGATTTTGTCTCAGGCTGCTACTGATGCTCTATACTGAGTGTATTTTTTACCCACAGAATTATGTGGTGCTCCTGGATTCTACACTGTCTAAATCACAGTATGATTACACCCTGCCTCAAGTTTCATTCTCTGCTATTGGATATCATAAACACATTACACTGATCTTCAGTCCCACTGTAAGTACAAAATACTTAAATGTTCAAGTGTTCACCTTGAGAGCAATGGCTGGTAGCGTAGCCTGTATGTATTTTGTGGTCTTGATCAAACTTTCTATTAATGTAAATATAAAGAGGTTTATGAGAGGCATTAAAGTGACAATGAATTTGGCTTTGGCCACATTTAAGGCATCACCTGGTATGTTATGGGAGGCAGGTAAGGACGTCAGGAAGGTATTGAGTGTTTTTGCACTTCCGAACACAGTGCAGTCAGATTTAGTGAAGTGTTTGTTCTGTAACACTTAAATGATCTTCTGCATCACTGCATGCTCAGATGCCAGCAGAAAGTGAGGGAAACTTGAAATGGCAGTTATAAATGAAAGATGATGATGGACCTGGAAGATTTTCGTGCTAGTATGGTTGCTGTAGTATGATCACAGAGGTGTAGAAAGTAAGCACACCAGCAAACTGTAAAGTGGAGACTGACCATTAGTGCATTAGCTTTAATGAACAGCAAACCCCGGGAAGAAGGTAAAATATAAATGAATCTGACCAAGGGGACTGCTTTGAAGTTGAACCTAAAGTAAATTGCTGAAGGCAGCACTTAGAAGGAAGTCAGATGGGAAGGGCTGGACATGCCACATGATCCTACTGCTGATGTTTAAAGCTGAGGGGTTTCATAGCCAAAATGACTTAAAAAACCCAACCACAAAAAAAACCCAAAACCAAACATCCATGGTCCCCACTGTTTTCAGAGAAAGCTGCCTGAACAAGATATTGCCCAAGGATCTTACATTGCGTTACCACTGACTCTGCTTCTGTTGCTGGCTGGTTACAACCACGATAAGGTAGGTCATGGGTGTTTTTGTCTTCTCCAAATACTGTTGTCTTAACAATGAATACTTTGTACTGTGTTAAGTGAGGGTTTGTTGAAGTTGTTACCCAGACAGAGATGCAGTCAGCAGTCCTCTTATGTGACACATTTTAAGAAAAGCCACAGTGTAGCCATGTTATTGGACAGTTAACCTTCATTAAAAAAAAGTGTGATGGTGAGTTCCTGTGCCACTTCTGAACTTTTATCTTCTCATTTGATGGCTCTGGGAGAAAAAAACAATGTAGCAGCATTCAAATTCAGATAATCAGACTCAGTGACAATAGAAATGAAAATAATTATTTAATTTACTTCAGGAGCAATCAGACTGGAAGAAATCTTGCAAGTCATTGAGTCTGGTCTCTAGCTTTATACCCTCCCTAGTGATAAAGCTCTCAAGAGAAATATAACTACCTGCTATATAACCCCTCTGGCTTTGTTAACAAGCCATGCACTCCTAGTCTTCACTGATATGTCCGGGTTTCTGTTTTGCTGATAAGAGAAAAGAAGTTTGTCTGTGCTGTTTGATTTCCTCTCACAGGTAAGACAGCTCAGAACATGGGATTCTCTGGGATATTCTTTGCTGTCACTGAAAACAGTGGTGGTTTTCTAGACTCGGGACTCAAACTGCTGTTCTTGGCTGGATTACTGCAGGGAAAAAAAAGTTACTGACAAGCATTTTAGTTTTCAATTGTCAGAAATTTCCAGAAGTTTGGTCTGATTCCCTCCCAAGACTTGCTGCCATTTTCTGGTATCTGTAGATGTGCCACTTTTGCAACAAATTCTGTTTATCTGGGGATGCACAGGTCTGCAGAAGGTTTTCATTCACACCTTACATACCATTGTAATCGCAACCTGCTTCCCCTTCTTTTCTTTGCCTAGCTGATTCCCTTATTGCTACAGCTGACAACCCGGCTGCAAGGAGTACGTGCTCTCGGGCAGACTGGTTCTGACGCAGGTGGCTCAGAGGATGCAAAGAGGCAAACAAAAAAACAGAAGACAAGACGGACGTGAGATGAAGGGACTGATTTCAGTGGTGCTCTGTCAGACTGGAACCTGAGGAAGCAAAGCCACTAAAATACGCTTCTGTTGAACTTGTGGACTTTACATTGCCATTGCTATACGAGCACCGTTCTTCACACTAGCTCCATTTTGGTTGTAAATTTTCTATGGAGTCTACAGATTTCCTTGTTGTAAAGTAATAAAATGAATGCCTCTATTGTCACTGTGAGTGCATCTCCCATACTTGAAGACAACGAATGATTTATTTTTTCTCTGCAGTGGAACAGGTCATGCTGTCTTTGTTAATCATTTGTACCAGCAGTGGTAATAGACTGCTTGACTTCACTTTCAGTCTCTGTATTTTGACATCTTTTTTCCTTGACGCCAACTTTACAGAAGCAGTGGTGCTTGAAACAAAGTTTTGGGGGACATACATGAACTGGTGAATTATGTCTTTTTCACTTCCAGTTCAGCAGCTTGATAGAAGAGTCTGTCATCTGCACAGCTGTGATTTCAGTTCTTATCTAATGATTATGTTATCTTTGATTAAAATCAGATTTTTGCCTGCTGAAGACAGATTGTTGATGTCAGGTAAGTTCCAATGATCCTACTGCTAAAGCAGGGTTTAAATTTCAGTTTTGTAGACAGTGTGATCTCTTCACACCTCCAGTATTCGTGACGTGGCACCAGCTGATTGTACCATTCTTTCCATAGCTGTTTGATGTTGGTGGTACCAGTTCACTCCTGTGGCTGTCACTTCTCCTGCTTGGCCATGAGCAGCCTGTTTGCCAGTTGATTTTTTTTTTCTTTTTTTACTTTTTTTTTTAACTTTGTTTTTTCTTTACTTTAAGAAATGTGAGCTTTTCAAACTCTACAATGCGTACAGGCCAAATAATGTAGTCTGTAATAAACAGGCTATCTTTTGATTCCTGTTTGAAATAGGCACTTGGACATACACAGTTTAAATGTCAATGGGGCTTTTTATTGACAAATACTATAAAGGTTAATAGAGCTTTTGAAAAATGCACATAAATGCTTACAAATATTGCAGAGACATTGGTACTGCCAGTAAGTGGCAATGTTTCTCTTTCACAGTACTTGAAATAAAGTCCTTTTACATTTAAATATTGAAGCTCACAAACCCTACCATTGTTAGAAATTTGGATGCGACAGGTTTCGTGCTATTTTTGTTGGCATTTTGTACTACTTTGGGCCTAAATAATGAAGACTTCATTCAGTGATTATTCTAATCTCTCTGCGGGAAATTTTATCCAAATCGTAATAAAAATGAAGACAAAGCATGCATGTATGGAGTTTGCGATGAAGCTGTAATAAATTGTCATGCTCACTGCTTAATGACCTTGAATTTTATATTGCTGTGATGAAATATATGGGGAAAAAACAAAGTGTTGTAATTACGATGTACATTTTCAATGCATCTTTATTTTAAGCTGGTGAATGTTAAGAAAGGTATTGCTACTTTGGGTGAATGTATGAGGAAGAATTGCACATATCCGTGTGCCCTGAGGGTGTACCAGATATCCTGACCTCTGAACTGTGGGACTTTCTGATGATTGACCTTAAACATTGGAAGTACTGTTAATAAAAGGAAAGAAGTGCTAATGATTGCTAATTTAATGGTTGTTTCTAAACCCAGGATTTGCCCAATGTCTCTTCTCAAATTTTCTTTTCTTTGCCTTCTGCAGCAGCCTGGTGTTCTCCTTGCTTCCAACCCTGTGTTTGGAGGTTTATTTTGCTTTTGAAGTGTTTATTCCTAACAGAAACTATAGCTTGCAGTTTCTTACTTGGCAGAGAAGTCATGGTGCTCTTTGAGAACATGGAGAAAACTAACACATGAGATAATTTCCTAAAGCAGAACTAAATGCCAAGAAATCGGCATCTCCAATTATATTTAGAAACTAAGATACGCAAAAAAAATCAGTGTGGTCTCCCAAACCCCCAGAGCCAGGGGGGGGCGGGCACAGCTCTGTGCACGCTGGCCATGGGCAGGCTGATGGGCACTGGGAGGGAGTATTTGTGCGGACATGGTGGTCTGCATGGGCAAACGACTTCTGCCTCCAGCTGCCCACTCCAGATAGCACCTGGTACCTCTGCTGTCTTCACAGCCCTTTACCCATAGACCTGGTGTGGTGATAACTGCCTTGATACACATAACCTACCATATACATCCTCTAGAGCATGTAGGTCTAGAGGGTCTTCATACAGTGTGACAGTGTTGCAGTGCTTTTTGGTGCAGAAATGATGGGTTCAGTTTTAGATTACCTTCTGTACTCTTCTGTTGAATATTTAGGTATCACTTTCTCTGCATATTTGTGGTTTGCAGTTGATTTTGTGCTCTTAAAACCAAGACTTCCGTACCAGTTGGACTGGCCTTTTAGGTATTTCCTATTGAAATGTCTTTTAAAGCTGCTTGTTGCATCTTTAATGAATTGATGTTAATACAAAGAACAAATGCAGAATGGGGCTAACATTTAGATATTGACTTCTGCTAGAAAAATGTCAAGGCTAAGTGTTTACTGTTCCTTTTTGCAGGCACAATAGTGAAAGAATGATTAATTCCTTTGCTTGGGCAGTTAAATATGGGCAAATGGCTGAATTCTGTTGGGAATGAGAGTAAGGCCTTCCACATAAAGATGGCATGATTTTTCTATCAAAAGCAACAATGAGTATTACATAGATTTAGTTGACTCATCAGTGATGCACAGAATTCTATTGTTTAAGAATGAAATGGATCATTATTTCTTCATAGATGGTTCAGCTTAGGTTCTAGAGCATCATCTTCATTAGATAGCTGTCAGATTCCCAAAACAGGTGTTTTTGATGCATAAACACAGCAGTTTAAAAAACAAATGATCTTAAAAGCAAGAATAATACTTAAAACAGAGAAATGAGCATTCTCAGCCAGGGTGGAGAAGCACAAGTTTATTCATAGTTAATAGTCTTTGTTGTGCTTATTTTTAAAATGTAAATCTCAGTATTTGGTGAATCTCAGCATTACTGAATGTAAGATACACAGTTGTATGCATCTTCCTTGTGTGAATTTTGTTCTTTGGATACTGAAAGAGCAACAATAGACTTACCCCTTTCGTAATGCTGAGGACTATTCTCAGCCCTGGGTTGAGGAAACATGGACTGAACACTGAGGCTTCTAAAGTCAAGATGGTGTCGAAAATCCTCCTAGACATCTGAGTAACTGAACTGTCCAGAAAAGCTGAGGCTGAATGTGGAATTGAACCCCGAGATGACTGGTGTCTTATTTTCCTCCTGTTCAGTATTCCCTGTCTGGTTTCTGTATGTCTAGTTTTTCCAGTCTGAAAGTAATTTAAATTGTGTTTCTTGGAAAGGTAGAAGCAATGAAATGAGTGGTGTAGGAAGGACCTCAAAGGGAGCAAATCTCCTAAACTGAACACAACAGCACTGGCTCACATCTCGCCCAGTGCTGGGGTCATGTTACCTGTGGTAACTCATGTTTTCCTTGCAGATGGTTTGGTGGCTTTAGAAAATCTCTGGAAGTCTCTGAAAATCCAGTAAATGTATTTCTGGCACATTACTGACTGATGCCACAACTGTAGGGGATTTTCACTTTTAAAAGAACACCAATGAGTTTAGTCTCTGCCATTCAGTCATTTATTCAAACCTGGATGAAACCATACTTTCTTGTACAAATGAAGAGCAGCTCTGTGCTAATTAGCATTCCCTAAACCTTCACTGATTATTATTAGCAAGTGCAACTTTTTCCCCTTGAATGTTTTGCAGAGCTTTTGTGAGCTTTTTACATGAGTTAGCTTGTCCTTTTAATTTTCTATTATACCTTTTGTAATTGCTTTCTATGTTTGATATGTTGTTGCTTTACTCCAGTAACTTCCATTATCACTTTTAACTGTTAGCTGTTACTGGGATCAACACGATTGCATTATTTACTCTGTTTGCTTTAAATATCACTTTTTCCTTGTTCTCCCCCTTCCTCTCCCACCAGCTTTCTGGGAATATTTGAGCTTAGCAGCATGATGCTGTCTGAAGTCTTGTTACCTTCATAGCCCAAGACCATGGTTACTTCAAGCCCAGTGATACATTATTGTAAAGCACTAAACACCCGTCAGACCATTATTGAATTTATCACGTCTACGAACTCAAACAACAGTGAAAGATAAACCTGTTTTTTACTCCCTGTGGAAGCCAGCAGGTTGATCCCTCCTTTAATTCTCATTTTTGTCAATAATAAGGCTCTAATTTTTTCACAGGTCTCTTATCACCCTGAGTCTGGCTTCATTTTAATTTTTCTTAAAGCATAGGGTTGTGGTAAACCATCAACAAACCCTCACTCCAAACCTGCCTGCTCTCAGGCACAAAAGAAACTAATAGGGGCTTAAGTAAAACCCATGAGAAGGAGCGATTTTGTTTCTATGGTCTCGTGTTTGCTGCATTGAAGTGTTTTCAACAGCAGTCATCAGAAAGATGATGGATTGGTGTGCTTCATTCTGTACCATAGGGCTTGCCCCTTCTGGAAGGAGAGGATAGGATGCCACCCTCTCCCCTTTCTTCAGTACATGGAATGTGTGGCAGTCATGGATAATTTCACTTTGCAGATGAACTTGAGTTCATTAAGTGCACATCTGCAGGCTGGGGCCTGGGTTTTTTGTTTTTGCTGTGCATACAGGCCTGACAAAGTTTAGCCCGCACCTGTGACTCCCAGCCCCTGTGAAACAGCCTGCTCTGTCACTGGAGGAACAGAGCCCTTTATGTGCAAAGAGAAAAATTATTTTAATAAACATGGAAATTGGATGCAAATTTGCTTATGCATTTAAAATCAGAAATGGCGTTTCCCTTTTGTTCTGTGCTCCAGCTGTGTATGCACTATCATCCTTGGGGAGGCTTGATGCAGTTGCAGAGTACGCATACAAGGGACTCTGCCATTCTTTCTGGCATAAGGGAAGGAAAGACCAACTTTAGTAAGTGTCAGCTCTGAAACAAGCTCATAAAGTTTTATAAGCTTGTTTTAATGAGGATTCATGTAGCTCTGTGCGCTCACACAAAGCTTAATCCAGCAGTGATATCTCAAGTCATGCTGAGCAGATGTGGAATTGGTGATATACAATAGAGTTAGAACTTCACAAAGTAAACAAGTTTCTAAAAAATGTATTCACACCATGGGTTTCAGGTTTATAGCTGTGTAAATCTCTGTGATTGTGTTTATATTTTTAC